TTTTTGTTCACAACTCTGGTTTTTTTTTCTTTAACCAGAGTTGTGTCTCGGAAAAGAGGATTTATGGTACGGCGGTTTTCCGTTTTCTTCCTCACATTCATAATAGTATAAAAGATAATAATTAATAACAATGCGGTTTTAGAACAAGTGTCAAATTATATTAATTTTACAGGATTTTGCTCGTTCAATCCAAAACTGTTTTCAGATTTTGTTGAAATCTATTTTTATAAATAGCTTCTTAATTTGTGAAAAACGCATAAATACTAATTATATCAAAAATTATTGTAAATTTAATATGTAGGTTGTTTAGCACTTAAACTTTGGGTGTTATTTAATTGTCAAAAAAAGTTCCAGTTGCAAGACACTTAACATAAATAGCTAAAATATTGAGTCTCTTTTCAGTCGTTGTAAGTTTTCTTAACGACGAAAAAGGTCTCTCAAAAGTACAATTAGTAACGGGCAAAACACATTAAATTGTTAATAATCTGAATTCTTTATATGATACACACAAGTCAAAAAAACTAAATAGTTCTTTTAGATTTTTTATACATCTGTTTTAAAACATTTGCCAGGTTTACATTTTTATAATTAAAAAATAACAATTTGTTTTGTTTTACAAAATATAATGATAGAATTCAAGCCTGGGACTCACTTCTCTTAAGTACTACTCTGAGTTATACACGATAAGAAAAAATAATACATATTTGAAATAGGTGTTATTGTATTATTTTTATTTCAATATATTTAAATTGAAGGATAACTGCACGTGTTACACTTGAACCCTGCCTCGTCGATGTAGATGTACCATTGTGAAAATATTAAATTACTTTTATACTACATATATACTTGTGAGGAAAGTCTACGAGGGTTTAATAGCGTTAATTAAGATGTAATAAGGTTTATTACCGAGTAAACGACTTTTGACATAAAATCAATTTTTATCCTTTATGGAAAAGTGAGGGGTTATACGATTCGACAAGTTCTCTTACTGCGTAGACCATTTTGAATAGAAAAACTACCGCAAAAGATTAGCCCTAACGTTGTCCCACAACACACAATCCCAATCCCCTTTAGCAAATTTGTTTTGGACACGGACGAGAAGGGTTTAGACAATCTGTTTAATAGTTTTATCCAATCAAACGCAGACTATTCGATCGATTTTTGGTGCATACACGTTATAAAAACATGCAAAAAATGAAACTTGGAATATATTTTCGAGTCTTATTCATTCACACCATAATTTTATTATACTGTCGCGCATATGATTTCACATGTAATGTTATCAAATATGATAGCATAGTGAAGCGGTCGAATCCTACAAATAGTACAGTAAATTAAAAAACAGTTTTGTGATAATCCAACCTCAAACACTGGTCATGGTGGCCCGTGTCCAAACTTAACCCCAAGTTAGGACAACGTTTACTTTTTCTCCTGTTTATTATTATTATTTGGATTTTCTCAAATCCTTGATATATTAGTCATATTGGACACAACGACTGATGAGGGTCAACGCGGTGCGGTAGCAGTCGAGATGGGGTTTATAATATTTTTTAGGTCAACTAACAAAATTCGAAAAAAGGGTAATAAATGAACTGTTCAAACGGTTTACGATGCCGTTTATTCGATGATACCGTTACAATATTTTTGTACATATACCTTTCAAGATAACTTCCAGTCGTTAACCCTACACATTATACGGGAGCGTAGGTAGATTATACCGCTGCCCGCTGTCCTCCTGCCTACTGTATATTTTTCTAGGTACCTATAAAATCGATAAATATATATATATATATATGTGTGTGTGTGTGTTTTTTTATAACTATATTTTCGTGAAAAATAAAATATAACCGGTCGGGGCCTTTTTTTGCCATACCGTGAAAGACACCGTGCGCGTTATTTTTATATAAAGCCAAGACTAATCGTGCAAAAATCTGAATATGCGTTGGCAAAACGGCAGCTGACCCGCGATGGTTATCTGGGCGAAAAAATGTCACCCGGGTTCTCCAAACACGGGATAACGGACAGGAGGAGAACCGGGGAGAGAGAGAGAGAGCACCACACGACGACAAGGGCAAATATAATAATATAATATACAGGCACAATGACAAAAGTAAATACACCGCAGAATAATACACACGCCGGTGTCGCGGAGTCTATTTAAGCAGTATTTTGTCAAGTCTTTGTGTGCGATTCCGCCGGCCGCCCCAAATTTCCTGGCACAAAAGCCCCCGGGACGAGTCTCGTCGTGACCCCCTGATCTTCCCTCCCCCTCGGGGCTCTTCATCTATCTCCTTCGATACAATATTATATCCTCGAGGATCCTGACCGAGAAAAGTACCCGAGGAATTTTCATTGTACACACTTGTACCGTCGACTTATGCGACGATGAATACAAACATAATAATATACCTATATCCATATGTATGACAATATTGTAATTGAAAAAAAAAAAAATGATAATAACGTTATAATATACGACGGCAAACGATAACACGAGGGTGACAAATTTATGCGGACGGTATTTAACGTCAAAAATGACAAGTCCAGTGTTATCTGTGTAAACATCATTTGCCGTCATCTACACTAAAAATGCGAGTAATAATAATAATGTCTATACAAAACTGTACACAATTTAAATATAACATAAACAACCTTGTGCGGTGTCGGGTATAACGCGCGTTGTGTATTGAGTTATTCGTCGCCTTATAGACAGTGAAAGCTGCAGCTGGTTTTACAGCTGGTACAGGTTGTACCCGCGGATTTAAAGATACATTTTGAAAAAAAAAAATAATAATTATGATTTCGCAATTTTAAAAATAGTCTATAGGCCGAAACTGTATCAAATCAACCGGCCAACAATCGCAAGAATAACCGGAACTTTTAGCTTCAATTCGATAGCTGTGAAAGTGTTGGTATTATAAAGATGTGTATGTTCATGCGCCTTAAGTCACGGTACCTTTTTTTATTGTTTGAAAATTTGAGTGTACTCATATATACTACTCATACCATAGAAACTTCAATCATAAATAATGCAAAAAAAGCAATGAAGGTACAAACCCATATAATACCTACAGGTGTGTGTAATTTTTAGTAGTGCGACTGTGTCATTATTGGAAACTTTTTTTTGATAAAAAAACAACAACAATAAAAGTATACAAAAATTGTGGAAAGCACTTTATTATAATTCCCATTTCTCCTCATAGACATTAACACTTAAAAAATATAATTATTTGTTATCATTGGCCGATTATTAATTTTTTGATTACTTGTGTTTTATTTTTTTTATCAATCCATATAATATATTATTTAATAAATTAATGTTAACCACCTCTTTGTCAACCATCTATACAATGTACAGCGCGATTTCATATGTTGTACATTTTTTTTTAGACTCGACACTCGGTCGTGCATCACAATAAAGGTAACGTTAAAATAGTTAAGCCGACGACCGTGATGTACTTGTAATAGGCTCGACAAAAGCGGCCTTCGGTTCGACGTTTAGGTATAGAGTAGTATTGCTATTGCTATAATATAATAACATAAGTATGGCAGTCGACTTACGCGCCAGTACGGTTCGACGTTTCCCAAAGGGTGCGACGAGCCCGTCACTTTGGTTTTGTATACAATATATATATATTTATATATATATATGCTTAACACTATATGGGATTTGCCATACATTAATACCTCGAAACAATGTATCCAGACCCTTTTCGAAAAACAATGACCGCGGTTTATATGAAAAAAAATTCTCTCTTCAAAAAATGGACGGGGTGAGAGAGGGCACCATTTTTTCGGATGTTTTTTTTTTTTTGTTGTTGGCCACTCGACACTGCCGATAGTAATTTATGACAATTACTAACGGTTAAAAAGTTATTATGCGAAACGCGCCACTAACATATTTTTCTATTAATAACAGTATGAAAATATACAATAATACGTTCAGTCGTTTCATTGTTTTTTCGTTTTTGCAGTGGTCGTTGAAAAATATACATTTTTAATTGTTTACACAGGCGTATACAATTAATTGTTATTATGTCGCGTACAGTAAAACATGTCTAGAGTCTAATTAGAGTGTTGGTAATAATATTATTCTCTTGTTATCGTTTCTAACCAAGGACAATATTTACCTACAATTGCGGTGTGTAAAAAATAACGTGATTCGTACATAACCGACTTAAAAAAGTAAGACAAAACGCGAGTAAAAATGAAAAAATTACAAAGTAAGTTTAAAAAAAAAAGGTTTTAATACATTTTATTTGGTCATAAATGATTTTAACGAGTCGATGAAAATAATAATAACAAGATATTCGATATGGAAAATTACAGCAAAAAGTATAAAAATTATTTGTAAGCTTAATAAAAATGTATTACAAATAAGCAAGTCCCAAAATTAGCAGCAACGTTAGAGACTTGCTGTGGTACCTCAATGCATACAATGGGTGCCCCCCCCCCCAGAATCCGTAGGGCCAGCACAATCAGTAGGTTTACTGACATAGCTATAAATTATATTAGATAATTTTAAGTATTTACTTTTGAATATTTTCAAAACTTCTGTCATCTCATAGTAAGCTTACTCTCTCAAGTAAAAGGGTATGAGGTGTCCTAAGTTTGATCACAAGGAGGTTGATACAAATTACTATTTCTCATCTTAATTGTTTATTTGTAATATATTTAATCGTTGCTTTTTGTAAAGGTATGATAAAAGCGTTTTTACTACTTTGTACCATACAAATAATAATAATAATATAAACATACTTACAAATGCTTTCTCGATTTCCAAAAATTCTGTCGTCTCAGTAAACATAATCGTTGCGATCACTGTTCCATTTGGAAAGTCACAGTAAATAAAAATACATTTCTGAAGAAATCGCTGAATTTGATTGAGATTTGTGTACTGATTTTAGGATAAGACAAGTAAAAAGATGACAAGGTAAAGATCAGATGAGTACGTATCAGTACTCAAGTTTAAAAAAATTATCTACAAAATAGTCCTCGTATATAGTTCAAATAACTTTTAATGAAGAAATTTTTTCACTTATATTATGCGTCTGTGCTATAGTATAACGTATTTTATATAGAGCCAAAATATCACTTGCATAAAATAAATTTTACAAATTTTACAGTAAATTTAGTATACTTATAAGAGTCAGGGGCAACGAATACAACAATTAACTTGATAACGACTGATATCTTGCAATTGTGTTTTAATTATAATAACGATACAATGTTTTAAAAATATGGTGTTTAGTACCTATCTGTTGTATTTATAGCACACATCTGATAAATATTTTTGTAGGCTATTGTACAGTATTAGCAATATATAAACTTTTATTAATAATATAATATTTTATAGTATAATGTTTCTTGAGAAATAATTCAATTGAAGATTTTCTAATAAACTTCGTGCTTCTTCATTTTTCATTTTTCCCTGTAAACATTTGTCAATTGTCAGACACAAAAAGTTAAATAAATTCAGCTACTCAAGTAAAAAAAAATGAATTCCCGTGATTTAAAACGTTGTTTACCGTTCAATTACAAAAATAACTATACTATGTTGACTTTATGTAATTGTTATTATCATTAGATTACCTTGGTATCTCTAACCGGTATGTCCACTGCTTTCTGGAGCCAATATTGGGCTTCTGGCCATTCTCGTTCTGCTATAAAAGCTTTGCCCAGTAGTAGTTTACTTTCTATTAATTGCCCAGAATCGCCGACTTGCGATTCGTAATCTTTCAACGTTTTTATACAAGTTTGGATTGATTCTTGGTCATGATTGATTACACTTCCATACAAAAGTTCTTTTGTTTTTTGAACGATTTTCCCACTCTCTTCTGTTATTAATTTAATCTGAAAAAATCCATGTTTAATTCAAGTCAGCACATGCTTTGAGCTATTAGATTAATTTTTGAGTAACACGATAGACATGATGACTAGTACAATACAAAGAGAGATATGACGTTTTAATACTATACTATTATTTATACACTATATTGTAGTTGAATGGATCACACCAATAATCGGGTATTTAAAATTTAAAGTAGATAAACGTATTTACTTGATTACTTTAAATTTTTTACTAATTGTAATGGCTGTGGAAATAATCAAATTATAAAACTTTGAACATTTAGGCGTGATTTTTTTTTAACCAGATCCCTCCAATTCACTTAGGTATAATTTATTATTACTATAGATATCATTACTTCGCATATTATTCTTCCTTTCAGAAAAGTCACATATGGATCGTCGGGGATTTCGGGGTTTTTCTCCTTTATTGCGTCCATGCGATCTAAAACTTTCTTTAACGGACCCAGATTCAATAAGTTCATCTTTACGTTTCCTTCAAAAATATCTGTTTCTATAAGCGCTGCTTTCCACTTTAGACATTCATAAAGGTCAGCCGGGTTGCCCTCGAATGCTATTATGCATTGGTCAGCGTATTGAATCCCTTAAAATTAATAATTTATAATAATGATAACAAAAAAATATATAAATACAAAGCCAGCTCAAAAAAAGTGAATGTATGGTCTTCGGACAACAACATTGGATCGTTACATGTTTTACCAGCTGATTTTCTTATTATTTATCACTTATTTTTGGGATTATCGACTTCGTCCCTTATAAACATCACATCTTCATCCACTCCTCTCGCCATTCATATTCCCTTCTCTCCCTTTCCCTACTCCTCAACCTCCTACACGTTTATTAGCAACATACTGTAACACTAAAAGTGATGACACGTACTAGTTTGTAGCATAATTAAAATGGCAATGAATAGTTAAAATTGATTATCAAATCAAAAACCCATACCGGGTTTTAAACGCACCTTGTTTAAAGCCCCAAAGATTTTTAGTGCTTTTTAATGATGCGCTCGAATTTTTGTAATTAAAAGATAAAATGTGCGCATTTTTAGTCAGCGCCATCAGAGCTTCCTTGTCATGATTGTCCTGTAAACAAAAATGCTGTTAATAAAACAAGGAATTCTTTAATATTCAACAATTTCTTTAAAAAAAATTCTGTTATATTTGTTTATACTGAACAATAGCTTAACGATAAGGTTGTTGGTCGAATCTGTGGTAGACTCGATAGAAATGCAAAGGCATTTGGGTCGGTTCGTCGAAAGGTTAACTTAATTATTACTAAAAAATACATACAAAGTACACATACTTTATACATTTCTACCAATTTGTCATAACTTTTGGCCTTAACCGCGTCCCCTCCTTGTACAACTAAAGTGTCTAATGACTCGACTGAATTTGGAAGAAACTTCATGAATCTTCCTAAACGTTATAACATTATTTATTAGCACTATTAATGAATTATATATATTGTAAATATTATATATGTTATACATGTCAAATTTAATCTTTAATTTTAAGAACTGGTTTTACATAAAATACAAAACGTCTATTTTTGTAAGTAGATAGATTTTTAAATAGTTAAACATTAATTTAAAAAAAACACATTAAATTAACAGTTAACTAACAATAATTATAAAACTTTTAATCCACCAACTATTGAAATATTTTACATCGAACAAACAATTACTCGGAACAGTGTTTAAAAAGTTATTAAAAAATATTTGCATGAGACTATTGATACTTAATACTTACTGGTATCACTTGATGTCGATCGGGAAACTGAAAAAAAAATCAATAAATTATTATTATGATTATTATAAAATGTTACGTTGTAACTGACTATACCTATTCTGTGGATATGTTTTAGAGTAAATGAAAAATTTTTGTTTAGTAAGTTGATTAGTATTTTGTTTTATTAAAGTTTTATCTAATAAAAACAATAATATTAAAGATCAGAGTCGGGCTTTATTTCAAAACATTGGATTTTGAAAAACAAAAACAAAATCAGAATTTTAAATATTAAATTATAGTTTTATTATTATGTTAATATGTTCATATTTAATTCAATTATTTTATTGATGATTGTTAGGACTTATGAGGATTATCATTACATATACAGTACATAAATGATCCCACAAAAACAACCCATCGACGAAAAATACATTTCTATGGATAATCACAACATTTTATGATAACAATTACAATAAATTACAATTACAATTAACAATTAATGACATTTTAGAAAACAATTGGTTCACAGGATTTTGCCTAAGTCTGCGTCTTCTTGTTCGGTCGGCTAAATATTGTCTATCCTTCTCCTATACTAATCTCTATAATATTCGCCATTCCTTTATCCACTTCACACATCTCTATTCTATTTTCTTTATAATTTTACAAACTACAAAATCTACCCATTTCAGATACCAAAACCTTCCTTCCACATAAGGCGATCACACTTCCCCGATCGCGCCATCTTCTTCGATTCCTCCATTCTCTCGTATATACTAATTTGATTTTTCTACTCTGTTTACCGACCACCCCACCTAGCTCCTCAAGTCTGATATTTGTTTTTACTTCCTTCTAAACCCTCCTCATTACTAAGTCGTTTAAATGAGTTTATAAATCATAACTACACAAATCTGTATTAAAAATGCACAGTTTGGTTGACTTATATAAAATAATAAATACAGATTTGTTTTACTTACATAATTTACCAAGTGTAGTTGTTTGATAAAAAACGACTACGACTAGTACTGTAAAATACGCTTTAATCGCTGTCATTTTGCACGTTGGTTAAATGCTAGAATTTCATTATTACCGTAACACTTTTACCGATTGAATAAACAACCTAAGTCGTGTCATATGTATTTATAGATGACTACAAGAAGTGTTTAATACGTTTTGTGGAACAGCTAGTAGGGTATGTGTACCATACAATGTAATTCCAGGACATCTGGTTCAATTGTTGCCATTTCTATAGTAAAATGCAAACCTTTGTGGGTAAAAATTGTTTCTGTCAAGTAAAAAAACTGTATATTATTGAATTTTGCAAAAATGATATTTAACTAATTAAAGTTGAAACTGTTAAAAAACAAATATTGGCAATTAAGTAAACAATAGTTTTTGGCTTAGTGAATTACACATTTTTTTTGTTTTGCGATGGTTACAGTAATACTATTTTTTAGATTTGAAAGATAAACTGAACAGTGGGGAAATATTCAGAGTAGACTGAAAATTTGAACTATTAGGTAATACCTAAAAAAACATCAAACAAGAAAACCCTTTATTATGTTTAGTTAATTTAATTATTGCACTGCGAGTGAAGTACTTGCAACATAAACATGTTATTTACATATTAGTATATTAAGTATTAGGAAAATGACATGTTTTTCTGATCTCCTTAAAAAAAATTCTTATTGACGACACTTCATCAACGCTCCAGCCTTACAATTTATTCATTTTGCCGCAACCAGCAAGCCAAGAAAATGTTAATATTGAATGTCAATAAAAAGTTATGAACTGGACGACTACATTTTAATTGACATTTTTGTTTTCATTGACATTAAATTTATTTAACAATAAAAAGTCCAACAAGATGTCTTTTCCCACTTTTCACATTAATAAAATCAATACTTGGCGTGGAGTGATGCGTGACGACTGATAGACCCTTTTCATTAATATGCGGATAATTCTCCCCGTCCCCTCCACCTAATCCGCCGTAATGGCTAATAATTTTATAAAAACACCCCATCAAAATAACTATTTGCAGGTTGTATGGCCTACAGTAATGATAAAAAACACGATATAATAATATATCGGATATACTAAGTGATTTATTTAAAAATGTCCATATTATTTATTATTATTAATATAATTATTTATTAGTAGCTAAAGATTTTTAAGTGGAAACTAAGTTTCACAGTCTCCACTGATGGGCTGCCGCTGAATTTAAATTTGAATTACTAAAATAACTGCACTCATAAGTGAATACACGGTATAAACAAACCATGCACTTGATAATTGTAAAATAAACGTTTATCATGAAGTAGTTAAAAACACTATAGCGAAGCTATAAATGGTGGTTAACTTAAAGTACAAAGGTACATTTTTAAGCGACCTAGTTTTACTAATTACCTCGACGTTTAAGTAAATAAATGTTTCAATCCCAATGACGCCAAATTTGCACAATTAATTGCATTAGTTCGTATAATTAACAAATTTTATTTTTTCACATTCAATGAGTTTTTTTACTATAGAAAAATAAAGTCATTTATAACGTTTACATGTGTTTTATAATTGTTTAATTACTTATAATTGATTCATGACAAAGGTCACATTGAACGTGACAAAAAAAAACTTTTTTAGCAAATAATTAGCAAACATTACAGCGGAGTGAATAAAAAAACAGTTGTATTTTTAAGTTGTTGACTGAACAACCGCACTTGTGCGGGACAAAGTAAAATTTTTACTGCTTTGATTTTGATGAAAAATCACCGCATAATTGAGTAATAAAAAAACCACCCTGGGTCAGTTTTTTAAGGTTTTTAATGATGTATCAAATATGATCAATAGGTATCCGTTCGTCCACAACAGCTTCTGCGCATTCTGTATGTGTTACTGATAATTTTAACCTTTTATAAGGGCTGACTGGATCATATTATAATTATACGGAGGTGAAGTTTGCAATTACCGTCAATTACCTTTTTTTTTTTACTACCGGCTTTTGGATTTTTCATAAGCAGGTTTCTACCTATACCGGGTAAACACGTGGGCGGTTAATGGAAATATGCGCGTTTACATATCGGTCGCGGTCAACGATAATCCCTTTCGGGATATACAGCGGCAGGTAGACGGGCAGACCTACTGGCTGATATATAGTGTGAAGAAAACAGGAAGCTGGCGGCAAGTGCATACAAACACAAGTGTGTATTTTTATATATATACATGTATATAATTCCAATAGACCGCCAAAAAATTCTACTACTGGTATTACCCTTTGCCCGGTCAAATGCGTTTTCAAATGGAACTATATCTATACATAATGTAAATACAGCAGCCAATGTTTACTGCAATAATAATTGTACGGTCACGGATTTATTATTATGTGTTTTGTGTACCGGACAACAATGGTCATCGTTTTTGGCTACTGGATTTTGACTGACATTTTATTATTATTAAAAAAAAAAAATAGATGGAAAATATTTTATAGAATACCTTTGTATAGCTTACCTTAGGCATATATTTATTTGTTATTGCCTTTATGCGGCCGACTGACTTATGATTTATGAATGTGCGCGTACGTTGATGGGCTGCGAAGATCATCCTTTTGTGTAGACGGTGGCTGTGCACGCTGTACAAAAAATATATCCGACCAAGTTAATTTATAAGGAACAAAATAATATGTGTCGACCCAAATGGATTTATCGCCCGCGAGAACCACAGTAAAACGTGCACTTGTCTGTTTAACAATTAATATTTTCTTATAGGCTATGGGAGTATCCTACAGAAATAGGAAAAAGTATCAATATTGATATACTACTATCAAACTATTAATACATGATTTCGTTACAAATGTAACTTACAAACACATCCAAATGTATCTAAGCGTAGTTTTATAGTTGGCCGAAGTGTTGTCGTTGGATGACTCTTCACTCGAATCTTAATGCTCAGTTTTAATTTAGTATTATTTTTATTGATTTTATTTAATTTTCTTTTATACTTGTACTTGTACTTGTATAGTTTTTCTGAATACAAATTTTTAAAAAAATGTTGTAGTTGTTGAGACCCTAGTGAATTAATTTTTCATGTGCACTTTTTTAAAATTTTTCCTTTCACTTTAAAATACAACTTATCTTCACTACTAATTAGATATTTTTAAGCTTTTATAATTGTTAACTAATAACTAAAAGACTTTTTGTTACAAAAGTTTGGAAAAACTGAGTTTGTGACTTTTGTCGGTTATGAGCATGCTAAATTAATGATCCGTTAATTGTCGATACGATCTGTTGCAACGTTTTAACAAGTCAATATTTGAAATTGAAAACATTTTCGAGGGGTTTTCTGATTTAAAGAGTGAAGCATTGAACATTTTCAATTGTTACCTTGCCTTAATATCAATGACGTAGATACTATTTGTAACCTATAACACTATGATCAAGAAAACAAAATACAAATTACCATCAAACAGATACAAAAATAAAATACATCATTGTAAAATTAATACTTTTCTTAACTAGGAATCGAAACTAAGAGTACTCGATTATTAATGTGAAAATAAACCGAGAGACTACCTATACCTTGTCATATTGTTTTATTTGTAGTTTACTTGAAATTTATCTGTCCTACACGATATTAGAAATCGGTAAAATATATTATAACATAACATCACTTCATAGTTTGCGATAAAAAGTTAATTAAACAGCATTTTTCTCAATTTGTCAAATATTGACTAATGTTTTAATTGTATTTTATTATTTCTTTAGTCGCATTTTTACCTCTTGGTAAATACCGGTTTACGTCTACACTTATGTCAATAAATACGGCGTTAAAACACAAAAAAATACCATCAAATACAAATTGTAAACTCTCAACTAGTTATATGTAAAAAACTGTGATTCAAAAACATGTTGTTTTTCGTAAGAACGTTTTTCAAATTCATATCCATACTAGATTATTGTTATTGTTTTATTCGATACAATATTATCCGTGTAAAAATCAGATGTTATTCCATTACCACTTTGGGTAGTTTAGATGAAAAAAATATCCAAGTAAACTAGTCGGTCATATGTTTCTATTACGTTTTAGTTAAAAAAAATTCGTTCGAAAATGGCAAACATAAGTTTGTGGTTGGTGACAACTATAATGGTTATAGTCGGATCGACGAATGGAGACAACTATGATGGATTTACTAGAGAGGAGTTGTTACATCAATGTCAATACGTCCGGCTTTTCAGCAGAGGCAAGTTCGAACGTTTAGAGTACACCGACGGTCAACTTGAACAAATTGGCACCAACGATGTATACATACGTGCTAAGACCATAACCCGGGAACTCGAGTGCAATTATCTGTATAACATGTTAGTTTTTCTGCGTTTGATTTCTCCGGATGATTACGCCGACGAAGAGTTATTCAATAAGGTTGATGGTATTTGCGCAAAATGGGATCAAAAAATGTTAAAAGCAAAAGTGTCTGTAAATTTCAGTAATGTTAAAAAATGTCAAGTTAAACATTGGCTTTTTTATTTCTACATAAAGAAGATTGAACTGCACGTCCAGGGTGATAAATCTAAAGAATTAAATTCCGACATAAGGAACCTCCATGGTACTTTACATGAGAGTGTACAAGATGATATGAATAGACATTGCCAGACGCATATTCAGTTTGTTTCCTACACGAAAGATTTGGAAATGGCTGAACGAAATCCAGAAGCGACTTTACAAATGCTTACCCAGATTTGTACGGATTTGCACAAATTTAAAAACGACGTAGACTATTTCGAAGGTTTTGAAGATTATGATTTAGACCGGTTATGTATGACAACTGTGATTGAGAACACGGCAGTAATGAACACGCTAATTACAGGTTTTGGCGGATTACAAAATGGTAAAAAAATTGTGAAATTCCTTACAGATAAAGTAAAATTGGTTAAAAATCCGTTGACGTCGTTGCGCCAATTCGTTCTTTCTATTCAAAACGTTCACTTAGTTTTTTTCAAAATAGTAAAAACAATCATGTTACGGATAGCTTGGACATTTTTCAAGAACCTGAAGCCTTTCCAAAAAAAGCAAACGAAAGAACTAGCATTAACTTTGCAAGGACATATAAATAGATTAGCCCATGTCCTGAATCTAAATAAAAATGATTATTTCATAGGAATTATCGATCTACTACGTTCTTGCCAAGTAAAATACTGGACTTGTTTGGCTACTGCAAAGTTCCGGATTATCAACTTACTGAAAATATTCGAAGAATATGAATTTTTAGAAGACGCTGGGAACCACGAAAAAGAAACTTTAAGAAACATTATTATTCAATCTTCTGCCCTTGAAAGCGTTGCTAAAAATAATTCCATTGAAAGTATTGAAACCAATGAACACACAGTTGGCCGAGCGCAAGAGAGCGTTTTGTGTGCAAAAGTATTTGTTGACTATTTAGGTAAAATATTAACTGGTGTAAATATCAATGTTATACATATGTTTGACGAATTTTCTGTCAATAGTTTGTCATAAAAATTTAATAAATAAATGTATTTCTTCTTTAATTGTTAATAATCATTTAACATTTTTGACCATCAATCAAGCAGCTAAAATAGTATAATATAAGAATAGATACAAAATAAGTTCAGCAATAATTACATTATTAATTATTATATCTAAACAGCTTTATTGTAGAAAATTCATTTTTCTAAAGATCAAACAATTTTTATTAGATTTACTACCTATCTAATAAATAGTTAAGGACAATTTTTATATTACATACATACTTATTTTAAAAATTTACATTATTTAACAATCAATTTGCATGTGCAATGGCAGAGTTTAGAATAGATGGACCTAAGTAAGTAGTCTAAAAAGTGTTTACCGAAATCGTTATTCGTGTAACAAGAAATTATGTCAAACGCTCTAGTTCGCTCTAGATCCTATGGAATCATGTAAAATGACCAATTGTTTGGACAAAGATTAATTTACATTTTGTTAAGAGGGTTTTTTTTTACCGTCAAACGTGATAATAACGGCGACTGTTAATGGACATTTTAGGCGACAAAGATTTCTCGCTATATTAGTTGATACCTTAACAAATTTTTTGAAAAAATTAGATTTCAAAATAATTTTCCTATTTTTTATCATTTTTCCCACTCACAAACCATATAATTTGTATTTGAATGTAATAAAACCATGCAACCGCTCCTTTAAGGAACAGGGTAGCTTTCACGCGACAAAATTCCCCCGAAAATTGTTCTTTTCATTTTAATGGGATATTTTATTGTGTGAAAAAATTTAACGGCAATATATCCTTACGGCGGCGGTCAGCTTGTTTTATTAATTATATTTTTTTCAGTCGGTTGGAAAATGAGTAAACCTATTTTTTAGGCGAAAAATACTTATAAAACCGAGCAAAGCTAACGTTTGTATGTCGGCGGTAAAAATTTGATTTCATATGTTGATTTATTGAAAACTACTAAGGCCACGTTTCCTTCTAATATTTGTAGTAGCTGATATTTGCAATAGCGTCATAAAAATATAGCAGTATTATTATTTGAAACTGTTAACAAAATAATTTAAAGGCTTTTGAAATTATTTTTTTGATAAGGTACATTTTTTTACAAAAATATTTTACAGCAAGGAAATCTGTGTTTATTATAATTGAAGTATATTGGTTTGTGTAAAATGAAATAATTCCGACGTCGTTTGTTTCATTCAGCTTACTAATAAGGGGGATTTAGGTATTGAAAGACACATTATTATACTGAAGGGCTTTTCATGACGTGTTTATACATTTCATTATGCCTATTGGCTATTTTAATGATCTATTTTTTGGTTTTATAGAGGATTTATACCATCAACTTCCCCCATCCCTATATGTACACCACTGTATCTGATAACATTCTATCGTAGTAGAGTTCAATCAACGAAATTGGAAAAAATTTGATTGTTTTGTTAGATAAGTTAATTTAATGTCTGCTAAGATTGTGCTGCCAACTTTATGAAGGTCATAACACCACATCATAGTTTGCGATAAAGATTCAATTAAACAGCATTTTCCCGAATTTGTTGAGTACATACTAGAGGTCCCTATTACACGTGTATTCGATTACACGTGAAACACGTGTAATTATAAATACACGTGTATTCAAAAAAAAAATATTTTTGTTATTAATTTTAGTTTTACGTTTAATATCACGTCTATTTAATAATACAAACTCAAACACAATTATAATTGTGTAAATACGCTAACTCAAACTAAAATTTTTGACAAAATAATATTTTTTTAATACACGTGTATGTTAATTACACGAGTTTCGTGTACACGTGTATTTAAAATACACGTTTAAAATCACAGGCACTAGTATATACCGTTATGGCTGTATAAGTAAACCGCTGGTCAAACAAAAGTTTAGTAATATTTTAATTGTATTTTATTATTTCTTCAGTCATGTGTTTGCTTATTGGTAAACATCGGTTCACTTCTACACTTATGTCAATAAATACGGCGTTAAAACATAAACATTTGGTATTAAACACAAACTTTACACTAGGTACCTACATTTTTTAAGTAAAAATCTGTTACTAAAAATATTATATTTTTGTATAAGCGATTTTCAATGCAAATATGTACTAGATTTTTGTTGTTTTTTTGAAAGACAGTTGTTATTCCATTGTCGCTTTTGTTACTTAGATAAAAACAATTTCCAAGTAAAGTAGTCGGTCATATTTTTTATATACGTTTCAGTTTAAAAAAAAAAAAAAAAGTCATTCGAAAATGGCATACATCAGTTTGTGGATGGCGACAATTGTAATGGTTATAGTCGGGTCGACGAATGGAGACAACTATGATGGATTTACTAGAGAGGAGTTGTTACGTCAATGTCAATACGTCCGCCTTTTCAACAGAGGCAAGTTTGAACGCGAAGACGACAACGACGGTAAACTCGAACAATTAATTCTCATCCACGATATAAACACACGTGCCAAGTCCATTACCTGGGAACTCGATTGCAATTATCTGTATAACATGTTAGTTTTTCTGCGTTTGATTTCTCCGGATGATTACGCCGAAGAATATTTATTCAATAAGGTTGATGGTATTTGCGCAAAATGGGATCAAAAAATGTTAATAGCCAAAATGAATGTGAATTTCTGCAAGTCTAAAAGATATCCAGTTAAACATTGGCTATTGTATTTCTACATAAAGAAGGTGGAATTACACGTCAAGGGTGACAAAACTGAAGCCTTAAATCCCGACGTTATGAAGCTTCATGGTATTTTACATGAGAGTGTACAAGATGATTTGAAAAGAAATTGCCAGACGCATCATCAGTTCGATTCATACACGAAAGATTTGGAAACTGCTGAACGAAGTCTGGATGCGACATTACAACTGTTTACCCAGGTTTGTACTGATTTGGACAAATTTAAAAACGACGTAGACTATTTCGAAGGTTTTGAAGATTATGATTTAGACCGGTTATGTATGACGGCTGTGATTGACAACACGGCAGTTATGAACACGCTAATTACAGGTTTCGTGGGCTTAGAAAATGAAAATGAAATTGTGAAAATATTGTCGGACAAAGTGAAAACGGTTAAAAATCCGACGACGTCGTTGCGCCAATTCGTTGTTTCGATTCAAAACGTTCACTTAATTTTTTTCAAAATAGTAAAAACAATCATGCTACGGATAGTTTTGGCATTTATCAAGAACTTACATTCATTGAGCAAAAAGCGGAGGACCAATTTAGCATTAACTTTGCAAGGACATATGAATAGATTAGTCTATGTCCTGAATCTAAATAAAAATGATGATTTTATACGAATTATCAATATACTAAGTTCTTGGCAAGTAAAATACTCGATTCGTTTGATTATTGCTAAGTCCCAGATTATCAATTTGCTGACAAAATACGACGAATGTGAATTTTTAAAAGGCGTGTTGAACCACAAAAAAGAATCCTTGAGAAACATTATTATTCAATCTCCTGCCCTTGAAAACATCGCTAAACAAAACGCCATTGAAATTGTTACCGATAAACACACAGTAGGCCTAGCGCAAGACAGCGTTTTGTGCGCAAAAGTATTTGTTGACTATTTAGGAATAATATTAACTGGTGTAAATATCAATGTTATACAGCAATTTGATGAATTTGAGTACGATATTTTTTATGCCAATGATTTGTTTATAAAATTTAATAAATAAATTGATTTCTTATTTAATTTTTAATATTTATTGTAAATTGTTGACCATCAATGAAGCAGCTAAAATAGTATAATATTAGAATACATGCAACACACATTCAGCAATAATTACTTTATCAATTATTATATTTAAATATTGTATTGTATAAATATCATTTTCCAAATTCAAACAATTTTGATTAGGGAGAATCAAAATAAATTCATATACATAAAACTAAATTAAAATATAAAAATATTTTAATAAAAATACCCCGATAAGCATAGATTGTGGCGAGGTAAATGAATTACTATTGACAAATTCAAATTTTAAAATCAAAAACTTTCACAATAGGTATTATATAAGTAAACTTATAGAAAACGTAATATACAAGTATCAATTTTTACTTTAAACTTTATGAAAAATAGTTAAGGACAATTTATTATATTATAGAAGTACTTTGCATTTAACAAAAAATGTTTTATTTGTAATGGTTGAGTTAAAAATAGATGAACCTAAGCAGTTAGTTTACTGATATCTTTTTTTGTGTACCAAGGACTTATGTTAAACGTTCTGTGAAAGATCTTAAATGCATTACTCAAAGGCTCGGTATGTTTATGTCTTAGCGCAAATTGCAATCAATAATTAAACCCAAGTACTTAACCCTAGTTAACTTGTTATTTTTTAGCAACTACAACACCTAGAAATTTCGTCATTACAAGTATGGATTTTAATATCATAAATAGGTATAAAAACGGATAAAAACTTCATTGGTTCCAAATTAATATTAGTTTTCGCTTTTAACAATATTGTCTGCTCCAATTTTTTCCAATTCACTAGAACCATCGAATGCATATAATACCATGTAATAATATAATAACAGTGACATTGAGGTCTTTGCAAATATAATGCCAACGTATGAATTGTTAGTACCTTCGGCGTTCCAGAAAGCCCAATTTTTTCAAGATAAATACTTTTCTCGATTTCGTATCGAGTACAAACATAAATGACTTTAAATAAATACACTCATTTTTTTCATGTTATATAACAATAAGTATGATAATAGTAAACGTTTTTTTTTTCTAACATTATAAGATAAATATTTTATGTTAATAACAAACAATAACACTCATGACCCGTAAACGCTCTATGTGTAGCATTGCGATTGTGTAAATCATAATAATTCTATATTTTTTTTTTGTTACTTAATATGACTAAATAATAAAATATACAAATCGACGGAACGTTTTACCTAAGCTATAAAAAGTCAACAATGGTTACGACCGTGAATTGAAAGTGTCCGTACTGCGCCTGAAAAGATGAATAACAAATAATTAGTGAAGCAAACGCCTTTATAATAATGTATGATTTGTTTGTGAAACAGATTATTAATAAATAATTAATTAATAAACTAAATGAGAAGTAGAGGTTAAACATGGTTAACTCGTGGTTCCCATAATCACTTTAACTATTACATTGGAACTGAAAGTAATTGCTTAAAATAATTGAATTAAGGATGTTCGAAAAAAAAATTCCTACGTGCTAGATCTTGTACTTTGAGTCTTATTAAAAAGTTATTTGTGTACAACATTAAAAGTCTGCACATTACACGAGACACTGTTTATTTTTTCAGAAAGATAAACTCAATTACCGAATTTCGTTTCGAAGCTCGGCTGTACTAGACGCTAACTTCCGGCTCATTTGAATTTCCCAATTCTTTTTCTGTTTTATCCTGCTAATTTTCTTTTCTTCATCTTCGATTTCTTTTTTAATAGAACACAAACGCTGACGTTCCAGCTCTTTTAATCTGAAAGGAAACCGATTACATAAAACAATAATTTTTAATTGACAAAATTGACTAATATTTTTACTCGATAAGTGTTCAGAAGCGATTTATTTACGAAAAACTAAAAATGTTTTTTCCTTTGGTATAGATTTAGTAAGGTTATAATTCTCATTATAGAGGCTAAGGTGTTATTTTTTTTATTTACCAATAATTACTATAGGTATAGCATAGTCATTGTTAATCCATCCGTTATTGCATACATCTTTAAATGTAAATAAAACTAAATAATATGTACATTATTTATTCAAATCCATCACTTCATATTATGCAGTCGTTTTGTTTTTGTCTTGTAGGCAAAACTCCCAAGTCAATGCATTGTTTAAAACTAAGTGGGAATCAAACGGCGTCATCGAATTGGGTCATATTAAACTATGTTTTAATTTTATTATCGAATGCCATAACGTTGCGGGCCGCGACGTCTTCGGGTTTCTTAAAAACGATAATTAAATATTTAAATTTTCAACTACGTTTTACTTCCATAATATCAATAATTGAATAATATGCAAGACAGTAGACCATAATAGTCATCATCTAGATTTGGACAACTCAGGTATGTTCAATTCGATAAAGGCGCGTGTCTAAAATAATTACATTGCCTTTGTTTATTTACATTCAAACTTGTCATTACAATGCGAAGCTAAAGTTCTGAGATCTGAAATGTCACCCATTTCCTATTAGAAAATATTGGACGGTTTTTCGAATATAGCATTCGAAAATATAGGTGTAATAAATATCTACAACATTATTAATATAAGGCTAGCACAGTAAGGTCAAAATTTGTCTCAATAATCTAAGCGTAAAAATGAAATAATTTGGAATTTTAGAAAAACAGTATCATCATCCAAATACCTTTGCATTTTAGCAGAATGTTCTAAAGCTCTGCGTTTATTTTCTATTTCGGCCCTGAGTCTCTTGCTGTCTGTATACAAAGCTGCGTTCTCTTTTGCTCTTCTCAGTTGTTCGTATTGCATCAGCATTACACGGTCTTGCCATCTTTGCATACCGTCTTCCAATTCTCTGGCCACCCTGTGCACTTGACCCATATGCTGCTCTCTCTGCAAACTAAATAGAGAAAATAATCTAAGTTGAAATAAACAAGCTACACATGCCTTCTAAAAATGCCAATCAAATGTTGTATGTTTTACCCCTTAATAAATAACCACACTATGGGAAGTCACACGGGTCTAAAAAGTGATTGATAAAATTTAGTTAAATTATAGTACAATTATATACAACAAGCGATAATGCATTTAACAAAAAAAGAGTTCAAACGTCAAGTAATTATTTTTACCTAAATAGTATGTTTTTAACGGTAGGCAACCTTTAACCTGCGAGTAAGACATAAGTCTTAATAAAACCGTTCGTTTACTTATTACGCAATACCCCATTAGTGTTATAAATTATAATATTGTCGATAAATCAAATAATGATGATATAATGTTAATAAATCAATATAGACTAAAGATAACTACACCGTTAAAATAAAATGTTCAGTTTTGAAGCTTCAAAGCAACTGAATAATGAAGCTAGTAGTAACAACTAAAAATTAAATCAATATTGAAATAATAATTGTAGTAAAAGGCTCAGTAATAATAAGTCTTAAAAAATTAGATATATCTTATTAAATATTATATAATTTCAAAGATATTGTTTTCATTGTAATGTTTGAACATACTAATTTTCTAAGCAAAGAAACATATTAGTTAGGTACCCTGTGTCTCGCTATAGTGCAATTCTATATAATTTTTGAATTTATCAAGCGTGTAAGATAATAATATTAACTTTAATATATTTCAAGCCTTAAAGTTCAAGCGAGTATATAGAAGTTGTTTATACTTCTCAATACACTTGCACACCATTAATAAATGAACATTGTGAGAAATCACAGGTAAAAATATTTTCTAAGTTGGGAATGTCGACTTATTTTTGATAAGTGCCTTTAGGTACCTTTTGTTGGCCAGCTCTCTCATTCGAGTGGCCATTCTGTCCAGATGATTCTGAAAAGCTCTACGCTCTTTTGCTTGACACTCATCGAACTTGCGGCGAATGGCATTGTCGTGGCGCGCCTGCATTCGTTCCAATTGCATGGCGTGCCTCAGCTGTTCCATTCTGTTGAGCGTCATGACTTTCTGCAATAACCGAGCACAATTTCCAAAAATAATGCAGAGACATAATTTGAGATTCGTTTTTTTTTTTTATTACAAAGTGTGCATTTACTTCTTGTGTCATTTGAAGCGATTGGTTTCTAGTTTCATTGGCGTTTTCCTGCTTCAGCCTACTCAAGTCGTGCAATTCTTTTTTGCGCGCTAATGTGTTCATTTGTTCGCAAAACAAGTTATCGTTGACCATTTCGAGTTTTCTGGCTTGCGTGTCCCGTTTCATTGAATTTTCAAACTCCTGAAATAATAATCAAAGTACAAACGCGCAGAATTATGTTAAACTTTTTAAAACTGAAATTCAGAGTTGTCATCTGTTCCGAATTAGTTGCTATAGTAAGCTCAGTTAGTCTGACAAAATTATATTTCACTCGTCACAGCTTCTTCGGTTACTCCATTTTTTCACACAACAACTGATCCCAAAAACTTAAACATTACTCGCTCAAACAATTTCATCTCCTTCATATCACTCTCTTACTATAATCTATGTACTATATTATGTTTAGGTCTGCTTATTCTCAAACAGTTTTTCTATAAAAATAAATGAATGCCCCCGTCTGGTTTTTAGCCGAAAGCTTCATTTAAATATTGAACCCATCGTTATAATCTATTGAAAATATCCATGCAACAGTATTTTCGAATTTCAATGCGTACCTTGCGTTCCAAAATTTGTCGCTTGAGTTCAGAGACTTTTTCGTCTCTGACCCGGATCTGCTCTTCTAACCGTCTCTGGCTATTCTCGAATGCTTGGCGAAGTTCCTCTAACCGCACTTGGTTCACCCCGTTCTCGACGTTGCGCTTGGCCGTCATGAAATCTTGCCATTTCTGTTTTTGTTCCGCCGTCAATCGTTTCTCTTCTTCGCGCATCTGTTCCCAAAACAAATTTACCCGTTGCGAAAGAGCTTCGCACTGTTGCTGTTCGTCGCGTTTCCGTCGCATACTCTCCAAAATCTTTTTGTCTTGGTCCGGTATATGAGAGTCGCTAACGTCCACCAAACTCCTATCGAATCGATAAAAAACTGAATAAATAGTTTCCCCAAAAGTGGGCAACTACTCATTGAGGCAATGTCTAATTGAGCGGGGCATTTAGCCAACCGACACCCCTACGAGGTGTTCGACGGCGACGAAGAAGAGAATTAAAGCTACATTTTTATGTGAATTGCAAATACAAATAAAAAATCTTTACAAGTCCATACAATACCGAGAGGAAGCATTATTAGTGTTCGGTCTTGTTCGTTTCTTCATTGGCTTATGATTGTCAACAGTCTTGTGATCGGGCGGATCGTATCGCTCCATGATCGCGATTCTGTCGACTTTTTTGCACAACTCTTTCAAGTTCATGAGGTCGCTAACGCTTTTAGACTTCCTACACCGCCTTTGAGGTTTTCTCGTGGTGGACTTTACGGTTCTGTAATACGATAACAGCAATTATTTGCATGGCGGTCGCCGTTAAAAATACAAAATCATATAGGTAACAAATGCATGTACTTCTGGTCCTCGTTCAATTTGTTCTGTATAGACTTCGTACGTCGCATATTGGAAGCGATGTTGTTTCGATAGAACCCCATGGCTTTTCTGGAGCATGACTTCTTTTTCTTCTTGCGCCCGTTTATACTCAAACTAATATCGCTATTTACAAATTTATTTCTCTCTTGTCGACACGCTTCTAGTTTTTCTGCAAACATATCATACAATCACCAAAGGCTCAAAATCCGACCAAAAACAGTGAATTATGAGTCCGTAGACCAAATATCTTAAGAGGTTTTTTATTAATTGTGTCTGCATAATAATCCGTTTAAACGCTTTTAAGTATATAAAACCCGTATCGTTTTTATATGCTAATATTAAACAACGTAAAAATAATCAAACATTTTTCGTTTTATTTTAAAAAAGAATACCTATCTCTGGTTAAATTGCCGAAATTGATCATAAGAAATGTATAACATTTTATCTTTAATACTACAGTATGCAGAAGTTTATGTTTTGAAAACAGGTAAACACCCCCCCCCCCTTTTGGAAGTTTCCTTATTTCGAACAACACAACTTATATTTCCGTTTTTTGAGCAAATAAACACACAAGTACCGCGGGCGCTTAAGTGTATCATAAAGCCCAAGCTGGCCTGACCTAATCATATTGGGCGATCTAGCTGCCCCGCAATTTCACCCCAGCGAATTTGTTTCTTTTGTGAGCCAGAAGACTCGCCGATCGAGATATAACTCGAGAATATTCTGAAGATACCGCGTAAAGACCATCTTCCTCGGTCCCCTCCGGCTAAATCATCTTATCGACCCTCCACTACACTTCTTGCCCACCGAAAATTCCCAATACCGGTCGACAGCGGTTAACAACCGTCTCAACCGTGGACTAGTGGCCGATATGGTATACATATACTATATTATATTACCTTGTCTGATCTTCTCGTGTTCCTTGTACACCGGATAGGCCAGCTCGATCGAAACCCCTAAGTCTCCGGCGACGTCCGCGGCGCTCTTGTACAACAACTCATTTGGCTGCGAAAACGAAACGGTCGGGTGTTATCGCGGGTGTTTGGCGGCAATAGAAGCCCCCCCCCCCCGGGTGCTGCTGCGGGACGAAAGAACAATAATAAACCACACTTGCCTTTATCCTGGCCTTTCGGCACGCCAACAGCGACCGGGGGCTGGTCAACACGTACGGGCTCCAACGACCGTACGCGTCAAAGTTGTTCAAGTCCAACACATCCGAAGACGTGGATTCCGTCACACTGCTACCCATTTTCTTCGTTGTGCATATGATACTTTGATGCCTATTTATTATTACACGCCTACCCGCCGCTCCGTTATTGTGCGGCGATGCACATATAACGGAATCGGCGCGCCCGCCTCTGTCCCTTTCATCAAACAAAAAAAAACGAAACAGTGTTACTGGAACAATGCCATGTGCGCGGAACAGCGTCGACCGTGCCTGTTGGTACCAGGCAAAGACGAATCGATATAGACCTAGTGTTATGACGGGACGGCGATGGCGAAAAAAAAATAGCGTTTTCAAAAGTACACACAAACCGAAATAACAAAAAAAAAAAATCCAATAAAAGTGTAAAAAAAAAGTTTTTTTATTATTGTTTTTCTTATAAATAATAGATAAATACAAACATCTCATTAAGGTGTTGTTAATCACATGTGTAAATATATATATAATTTTTTTTTTTTTTTTGAGGGGGAGAGGAAGGATAATTTGAATAAGCGTATTATATTATAATGATTATATAATAAATAAAAACTATGCGTAGTATTATTAATGATGTAACTATAGTAGGTAAGGTATATAAAACAACAAACTAAAAAAAATACTAGTAAAATTAAAAAAAAAAAAAACTTACTTCGTACAAAAAATGATATTTATGTATAAATATTAAAGTTAATAATCTACCTCTGGTGGGAAATAGTTTTGTTTATGGATGACTAGAGCCGAATCTGAAACGTTCTTAGGTGTTTGCTCGTAATGAATGTATACAGGAGAATTGTTGTTTTAAGTAGCTACTTTTTTTCCATAATAACTTGTTAAGTTAATTTAATATTTTCTAATAAGTCGACACAATACGTTATCTTATACATTTTAAGTAGACAATATAATAAAACGTTTAGTATTCTGGAACACATATTATTATTATATTTACATGAATACCTACAAGGTGCTTATATTAATATATGAAATCATCTTATAAACAAAAACTCGAAAATGCAAAAAAAAAAAAAAATACAATAATGGATGGTGGAGATTGTTTAAGTTGTGCCGTTCGGTATAGTTCCATTAGGGATGTCTAATATGCTTTCATTAGAATCATCTAAGTCACTAGACGAACTTCGAATGTCGCCGTCCATCTAGAAATTAAAAATTGTAAAATATTTTAATATTTATTGTTTACAAGCAAGGCTCTGGAACAAGTTTTAGCTAAATTTGATATTTATTAGGGAAAAATAGATTTTTATACCAGTGTCATTATGTTTATCTACAAATTTATTTATAGATTTCATTTTTTGGTTATTTTTAAAGTTGTATAAAATAGTTGCGAAATGATAAACAATTTTTTGTAAATTAATTTTTATATAAAGTTGTAAATTTTGTAAACAAAATATGTGAACTTATTTGCAGAAGTTTACACTGATATTTGTCATAAGCTGGTATAACATTTTTTAGGAATTGTTCAAAATTTTGGGACATAATTGCACTATTTATTTGTGCTCTAGTGATAAAACATTATCAATAATTATTTCCATGCTTACCTTTCCGGAATTCCATGATATAAACGCAATTTTCAAAATTAAATGCGTCCAATAAAGATGTAGAAGAAGTAAAAGAAACAGAAGACCATTGAATATATAATACGCAGGGAACATTTGGTTGACGACTCTGGGCGCGTCCACTGAAGTACTAGAAATAATAAAAACAAATAAAACTTAATTATGACGTATATAAAAGAGATAAATAGAACTTGAGATTTTTTTAAAAAAACAAGTTTATTGACAGAAATCAAATTTCCAATTAATTATTTTAATTACACAATTTTTTGATTTGTAGCAAGAATTTCATAAAACAAAATTTGTTTTTTTTTTATATATATCAAGGGTAGCAAGACAAAATAGACCAAGTGATGTTTTTCATAATTTTTTAAACAAAAATTTTTTTTTTTTTAAACTAAAATTAGGTCGTCATCTATAACAAGTAATATTAAACATATTCTGTTTGATCGGCCCTCAATTCTTATGTTCTTTTTCTAATATCCTCTAAAGAAGATAATTATTAATTGGATGTCATAAAAAATAGATTGCAACTCATTATTCTTATAATCAATTTATACACCGTAACTGATGCTTAATCAATATGGCCTTGAGACTATCGGCAGTACTAACAATTCTATTTAGAACTGTTATGTTTGTTTACAATTTTACTTTGTCTAAGCCTGATTAAGACTATATGTCAAATTATTACCTGTACAATATCCAAAACGGGAACAAACCAATTCTAGTAATTAGCCAAACAACAATGAATATCACTGAAATGATATCACATAACTTTTGGTACTTAGCATACTTGGCCATCTTAGCCACCTAAAATAAGTAAAAAACGCAAATGTATTAATAATAAAAAAGTTACGATGGTTCTTAAATGACAGGGTTAAAGCCATAATGGTGTAAATCACATTTTTGTAGAAGTTGAGTTAAGTATTGTAAGCATATCTTTAAAAATCAATTTATCGAAAGGCAAAGTGAATTAAGCCGTCACTCATAACCTCTATCACCAAATGGCAGCACAATACTAACATTTTTATTAAACCTTGTTTTTCTCTAATTATGATTAATGTGACTTACACCACTATGGTTTTAACCCCCTCAAATAATAGTATGTATGCATTATATATAAGTTGTTATGTTTGTCAGTTTTAGTTAAGGGCCAATTTCGTGTTGGTTGAAGAGCAAAATATAGGCAATTTATGAGAAAAAAGTGTTATAATAAATGTCGACCATGTCAATTTATTTCCTGGTGCTAATTTATAAAAGTTTCAGGTTATTTTTTTAGTGTATACTATTTTTTTCTCTAAGTCATAACTATTTTAGTGATGAAAGACGAATCAATTCTCAAAAAAATATAAAAGAGTTTCAAACATTTAATATGCATTTTCCTATAAATTGTATAAAGGTACAAGTGATCAAAAAACAAAAGATGACTTATTCATTGGAACACATTATACACTGGACTTCAGACCATAATAATTAAATACTTTTTTTTAATAGTCTCTTATATCAATAGTTGTGTATACACTATTGGTTTATATAAAGTTTTAGTTTAATGTACTGTAAATAAATTTATGACTTATTAATATAATGATTAAATGTGATTTAATGAATACAATACAAACTAGATGTATTTGTAGTAGGTGCCTATTGCATCTTGGTGTTCATATCTTTACTTTTTTTTTTTGTTTAAGTTCAATGAGTGTAGAATGATAATTTCCAGACATCATGCGTGTTGTATTTAATAAATCAATAAAACACTTTATAGCGCCTAGATCAAAGTTTAACACATTATTATTTGATGCCATTGTGTACATCAGTTTATAAACAACCTAATCACATTAGGTGCGAACATGCCTAATTTTCACTTGTTGATGCGTGGGAAAGTCAAAGTTGATCAAATGCTTTCTTTTTACCTCGAGTTTATAGAAAAACAAGTTAATTAGCTCTCCAAAGATGAAAGTGTGATAGAAGTAATTATGTGACCAAGGGGGTTGTTAAACTATTAATCAAATTATTGTGAACTTAATGTAGATTTTAATTACAATTCAAATGATTGATGGCCAATTAATATAAATCATTATTAGCAAAAATTACATAAGAGCAATTTAAAGTTAATCAATTTATAAATTGCTGTGCTTGGTTTAATTAAAATAGATAATGTACATTTAGTGCAAACATGCCACATTGCCAAAGATAAAGACCAAATTTGTCCTAATAGTTGTAAAACATCTTAACACCATACAAGCAAAATACACGTGAAATATATATTAACATCAGCATTTCTGTTATAAACTACTTAAAAGCTGTTAGCTCAAGTATAACTCCTCATTTACACGCATCTATTAAAAGAAACAGACAATTTAAATATTACAGAAATAAAATGCTTAAGTTGCAATCAACAGTTTCCAACTAACAAATAAAAATTCTAACTCTCACAAAAATGCATTATTTTTACTTTCTATGCATAACCTTTTTTATCGTCTATTGGTAAAAACATTAAAACAAATATATATATATATATATATGTATATATTTATGCAACTTCCTTATTAAATTTGTGCTTTGTTCATAAACTTGTTTAAAAATTTAACTAATTGTAAATTATTTTATGGACGCAATACAAGCAACAGCTACTATAAATAATAAGGCGGCATCTTATATGGTTTTATTTCAATTACTAAACAACAGCATCAGTAACTTGTTGACCTTTTCATAAGTCGGTCCGCTGTAGGTGTATCATTTGATAAAATTCATTTATTATTATTATATACACACATACTAATCTACTATAAGTTTAAATAAAAAAAAAAAAATCAATTTATTTATTTTAAAATTAGTATTCATCAATGGAGGTATGTGAATTAATTTCAATAACTTATTTGTTATATAATATATAGAAGTACCAACAGCATATAACATAGAAGAGATAAGTTATCTTTACTATTGTATTTTTTAGTCTATTGTGTAAAATAATATTAAAACTCTAAAAATATTTATTCTAATTTGCGTATTATTATAAAAGGGAATTCAAGATCATTGTCAAAGTTAAAACTTACAAAAAATGTAATTTAAATCGTTTTAAAACTTATGAACAACCGTTTTGGTACAAAATCAAATGAAATAAAATGTAAACATAAATTTGTAATGAGTTATACAAAAACTTCCTAAATTCATCAGTATTATTACCTAATGTCTGATTTTTTGTTGTTGTTGTTGTGTGCTCCATAAAAATATAATATCAGACATCAACATGCTATTAATATTTGTTTTATAATTATCGTTAACATATATTCATTTTAATTAGTTTGTTTTTCAATATAATTTATTTGATTTTAATGGTTTTCCTTAAAAAATTAGCCAAGACGATTTTAGCCAGTGTTTTTGTAAAATAATCTTATTTAGTAAAATATATTTTTTTAAAATTTAAAACTCGGAAAACTTCTAAAATGGTCAAATTTGTGATGGGAAAATACTACTTATATAGTCCTTGAAAATCTAACTAAAAATTATTTTGATTAGTAATGTCGTTTGTGGTATATTATTTTAATTTCAAATACTTGTATTTTACATGTTATAGAAACATTTTTTTAGTACCTACATTAATACATTTTTTTTTTTTTTTTTTGAAGGTTATTATTATCATTTTTTAAATCACATGTATTGAATAGCAACAATAGAGAATCCGCACAGTAATCTATAATCTTTTTTTCTGGTCTAATAAATTTTAATTGAGAAATATAACCTTCAAAACTTTGATATTAAACATACCAAAATGCAGACGGAAAAATAATATGAAATAAATTTGTATAGAGTAGAAAAAATATGTTTTTATAATCAAACCTTTTTATGAATTTTGATTTTCAAAAACTAAATAAATTATGTTTCCTAGTATACCGTTGTTAAAAGTAACAACATCGTCGTTAGTATATTATTTTTGTTAATTGTTATATAATTGGCAATGATTAAAAAGTATTTGTGTTATCTCAAAAATTAACTACGGAATGCGCCACAGTCCCTTAGTCTAATATATTGATATTACCTCTAAAAATATGTCACCACAGTCATGTGTCAAAAGTACTAGCGTTCCGATCCTGTGGAAATTGCATATCCACGAAAAGGACAGCAAGCATATGGTACAAATGTGGTGTACAAACATTTGCCAAAAATCTTTGCGCTTGACATCGAAAAATTGGGAAACAGCTAATGACCAGTAGAATGATAATGAAAGCATATAATACCACCATGTGTCTCTTGTGACGCCCTGTAGCAAAATAAAAAATGAATAATGATACAAAACGAGTTCATTTTACCTATTACATTTTAATTAATTTAACAGTAAAAACTATTATAAACTACGAGCAAAATACAATACCTGATGTGGGTATCCGATCCAGCAATAATGAATGTTCCATAGCCACGGCTTACTCCATAAAAACAATAATCCGTAATGGAATGATAAAGTGTAATAGAAACATCGCCAACTAAAATAAAAAGATGGTCATCATTTTTAATAATGAAATGTTACCCATAAAAAAATCGTCTGTCAATATCAAAAGCATGTTAAATGTGCTTAAACACATTGATCCACTGCTTTGTTACATTTTGATTTTTAAGTAAAATAACAGTTTATACGTTTAGCTATAATAGTTTAAACGTTCATTTGACTACATTAAAAAAATATACCTCAATCATTTTTAAAACTCGTTGAAAATTATTTTTAGGTATTTTTTAACATTAATTTTATTTTATTCGTCATATTAGAAGAAGATTCATTGCAAAATGTTATAATTATAAATATCAATCAATGTGATAATAGTTAAAAGAAGGTTAAGTAGGTTGACAGGTTTATGGTTAGCAGAAACCTGTTGACTAATCTTAATTCTTTGAATATGTAAGGTTGTGTAGTATAGTAATAATAAAATAACAATTAGTACTAGTAAAATTAACAAGACTCGTACTGATAGTAAAATTTGCACTTGATTATGCAGTTGCATTCATTTTTTTATACATATTTAATCTTGAAAAACTAATATTAATAATTATAAATACATTTGTAGCAATTTTATAACTTAAGTGCAATAAAATTTTATTTCCACTAGGTTACTGTTAACAAATACCTACTATACTCAACTTCATTTAGTTTAGCCTTGCAATAAAATAATTAACCTTTTAATGTCCGAGCAATGGTTTCGCAACATTTTCCGAACTACACACTTTTATGTCATTCTCTTTTTTAAAAGTAACGACCAAAGATAATAATTATCTAATTAATTATGCAATTGCACATTAAAAAAAAAAAAATTGAATGAAGATAGGTAATATTATCTCTGTTGGTGCAACAACTTATTATAATTGCATTTAAAAACATTCAAATTATAGCAATAATGTAAAATACAAATAACTGTGAAAAAGTTTGTGAGTCCAAAAATTTAAACGTCAATAAGTTAACTTTTGAAATAATAAACTTGCTATGTGATTTTTTGAGAATGACAATAAAGTTCACATTACATTATAGTCCTAACTTATTTTTCCTAAAAATAAAAAATTTAATTTTCACTTTTAAAATGTTTTAAGATTTATCTGTTAAAATATGATGTACAAAACACTCAAATAAATAAACGATGGAATATTTCAAAAAAAATAATAATATACTTAAAAAAAAAATTAACTGAAGATCTCCTTTATGGAAATCAATGAAAGTTTTTATTTCTTTCACTCATTAAGCAGCCTAGTATGCACTGTTCGTCCTACCTTTTTAAAGTGACGTTGTTTAAAAGTAGAATTACATCACACTAGTAATCATGTTATTAATTTTCCCTATTCTTAACAAATTATTGGTTGCTACATAAAATTGTTCATTTTAAAATCTTTAAAAAAAAAAAAAAAAAGAGGACAATCAGAGAGCTAGTGTATTATAAAAATGAATTAAATTTGCACTAGTGACCAATGTTACCTCGACCTATTCACCTCTTTAATTTTACTACAATGAGTCAACCATTGTTTGAATGACTCATTTTTTTATCATACCCTTTACCTACTACTATTACTATTACTATTATTTACTTTTACTTTATATAATACAGTCATGAATTACATTTTTTTTTTTTTGTTATTTATATTTGTTATCTATAATTTGTTTATATATATATATATACTTTATATTGAAAATAAGAATAGTTTATTGTTATAACTGATGTCTCACCAGCTTTCGCAAAATTTAACTATAGTTGATGGTTTTCCTTGTGACCTCCTTAGTCTCAACCATCGTTCTACTTGTCTTTCAGTCCAATCAAGTCTCTTGGAGAGGCCGACAATTTCTTTATGATTCCATTTGCTATTTTTTGCAAACGTTTCTTCTAGAATATCATTAGACGGAGCCCGTTTTGGTTTTGTGCTCTTAATGCCCAAGGAAACACCAAATGGCGAGAAACAATGTCTGGAAAAAATAAGTTCTAAAATTATACAAAGCTGACAATGTACCGTTGGAAAACGTTTACTTTTCTAAAAGGTATCTAAGAAGGAGCATGACTAAGGCCATCGGAAGCGGATAGAACAAATGCCGATGGTCGGTGTACTGTACTCGGTCGTTGGGTTCCAAGTCTGACCATTTTGTATTGGGGGGCAACCAAATGTCAGATGTCCAAAATGCATCGATAACTTGTTGGAATGTCCACATTACAAAGCTGATAGTTGTAGGGTACAAATCATCATCCGCACCAACACTCCGCGGGACAGCTGAAGCGTCAGACGTTTTGTACCTGTTTTATAGCCGGCGGACGAGTAAGGCCAAACAACAGTACCGACTACAACAACAATAATGTACAATTAAACAGATAAAAATCGTTGAAAAAAAATTAATGCTGCACGGTAACCGCACTAATGCCGAAACGAGATACGAGTATGGGCGGTTAAATAATAACCACACCGACGATAAAATAATCAAAGAAAAAAAAATGTTCTATATATATATATATAAATACATATATGTATACAAATGATAAACAATTCGGGTGGGGTTGTATCACGTTATGAGCATGGCCATCGGTGTCTAGCGATTAGTGGTGGGGGAAGCCGGTAGCCGGCCGGCCGGTAGCAGAGGTATGTAATCTCTTCTGTGCGCGGTACCCAAACGACAAGAGAGGGGGAAAAATCGAAATCGTGATGTAACCTAAAAAGCACTACAACAGCTGTAATTATTACTGTATAGGCAAAAAACACGTGACGAATAGGTATACCAGCAATTATTATTACTTGTGTTATCAATTATCATGCTATTTCTATTGTAAGGAATTCACGGCCGTCCTAGAACTCCAAACCATAGACCTATAAAGAATATAAATATCTTTATAGGTCTATGCTCCAAACAGTAGTCATGGTAGTGGCCATTGCAAAGATTATATCAAAAGTTGCTGACATACCTATATAATATATTTTCGCCAATAATACTATTGTTATCTGTACCGCAATCGGCAATATGAATATATTAATAATATGATCAGCTATGATAAACTGATAACTGATAAGAGATTACTGACAACGAAAATTCAATGTGTTTCGTTTTCGTCAAAAAAGAACCGAATCTGAGTTTTAAATGTTATTCGAAAATTGAAAATATTCGTTTACCATACGTCTGACGTTGGATATTTAGACAAAAATTATAATGAGGAAGTTTAAGTTAAACGTGACTTCGGATTTTTTGGTCAACTCGTTGTGTACTATAACGATAGGCACGGGAGTATTAGAATTCACTGCAAATACCTTTCTAAATCATTATATAAAATCATACAAAGAAGCGTTCAAGTACGTTATTGTTGAATCTACTTACTAACCCAATTATTATAACTAGGATTTTATGTTTTTTTTTCAATTTATAAATATTGATTATGTTCAACTTATTAATTATTGAAACTTGTACAGTATTCAAACTTTTTTTTTATGTGATACGGAGAGCAAAAAAGAACCTGTCATTTTCGAAAATTGAGATTTTCTGAATCTTGATTAATTTTTGAACAATTTGAGACCGAGTACATCTTTGAAACTAAGAAAATGACTTAGGTTATTGCACTTTGAAATCTATGACACTATGCTTAGGTCAGATTTTCCTACACTGTATCGTGCTTATAAAAATTAAAATGTATAGACTGTATGAAATTTTACCTTTGTCTGACAGTGGTGAAGTCAATGATCATAAAGAAAAAAGCAATTGTCATAAGCTTGTAGGCATAGAAAAAAAATTCTAATTGTAGTAATTTTCGTAGAGATTTTTTGAATAAAGGTTTTAAAAATATGAATTCCAGAAAACTGGCAAAACATTTTAAGTAAATAATTTTCAATAAAAAAATCATTTAGTAAAAACAAAATTAATATTAATATAGTTTACAGCCCAGCAGATTTTTTTATTTTAAAATATTTTATTATTATATTTTATTTTACAGAAACGGTAATCCAATTAAGTTAAGTGAATCACTGAAAAAAAGATACGATGAGGTTGTTAAAGATATTAAGTTAACAGAATTCCAAATGGCGTTTGTAGCACCTTTTGTGGTTGATAGTTTAAAACCAACGAATATAGGATGCATAAATACTCGCAGTGGCGCATACATTGGAATACCAAATTACTTTGAATGCAACTCTGTTGATGAATTACAAAGTTTAGATTCTGAAGTAAAACATGATTATAATATTTCATTTTTTTTTTTGTATTTTAATACGTATTTCATAATTTTAGGAAATTCAGCAAGTCAACATTAACCCCGAGTATAGTGAACAATTAATGAAAACATTAACTCTTAGTGAGTCTGCAAAAAAATATGCTATTGCTCATGAATTAATTAACACAGACAATATACGGTTATATATTCAAGCTGTCACACCTACACTGGTTTTAATGCCAATGTATGCCGTAGGCCACACAGTATTTAGTTCTTTGCCTGCAAACCCTTCGTCAATTAGAGCATTCGCATTTTTCATTTTTTGCAACATTGGAATGTGGTTCTATTATATTATTCGAAAAAATATTAACGATTACTATCAACATGACACGGATACGGTAATTAGTGAAATGGGTGACGAGTATATCAAAGGTGGGTTGGAATATTATGACAAATTAATTCAAAGAAACATTATCTTGAGGAATATACTACCAAACGGTGATAGAATCTACTCCGAAAAAGGTGATGAAATTGGATTTTTTGCCGAATTAGCATTTACATATAGGAAAAAACATCTCGAACGTAACTTAAAAAAGTTGGCTGAAAAAAATACTGAAGAACTACCATTATAGTAATAGTAGGTTGTTTATTTAAAGTTAGTTATTTAATAGATATGAGTTTTTTTAAAAGTCTATGTTTATAAAACATAATTATTATAATAAAACTAATAAGATGATTATGTTTAATTTCTTTAAAACTATTATTATCTAATTCGCTTGAAAAAAAACACACACCATTATTTACTAAGTTGTCCAATAAAAACAATCGAGTGTGACAAATGTATACTTTTGTATGCTTAGTGTAATTTCTAGTTCTAATGTAACTATTTATTGTATGACCAGTTAATTAAATCATTTGAGAATAGGATGAAATTTAATTTATAGAGTAAATTACAGATTACAACAGTATACCAAGTGGATGTGGATTGTATTCAAAAGTAACATTACATTGTTATCTAATAATTATTATACTACAGTAATACTTGTATTGTTTATTGGAATACATTTGGTAATTGACATCAAAAACTAAAATACAAGTTAGTTTCTATTAGTTTATACTTAAAAATATTAATAATATATTATAAAATATAATTATCTAATAAATAGTAGTATATTTTTTATATTTATTTATAGATACAATTAAATTCAAATAACAACAACATAAATAATAATAATAATAAATCAATAATAAAAATTAAATAAAAATAATAATAAATAAACAACACAATACAACAGTGATATAATTACCTACCTAATATGGTAACTATATAGATCGGTAATTTAATTATAGAAACACAGATAAAAATGATAGATACTTTCATGTTAAATCAACTACCTTGACGTCTAAAAATATATTTATTTTAAAAGAAATTAAGTTGCTTTAGCCAATTTTTTAAAATGTGACTTAATTAGGTTCTAAAACTTGGGTTAAATGGTAAACCTATGAGTTGAACAATTAAGTTGTTATACCATGAAAGTATCATTTGAAATAATTGCACAACAAAAGATAAAAAATAATAATAGTAAAATATATATAATTTTTGTATTAATAGCGGAGTTAAGAATAAGAATATTTTAATATTTATACGGTTAAATAATATAATAAATAATAATACAATAGAAAATTATTTACATTTTTTTAAAATTTTAAATCTCCTTTGAAACAGCATCACGTTAGTCCAAGAGATTTTAGCTAAAAAAAAAAAAAAATTAAGTCTAGTAAAAACATACTAGTATAAATTTATAATATTAATGTAGGAATACATACTAAGGAAACCTTTTGTTCTTCTTTTTGTAGTACTGTAGTTAACTGTTCTGTATCGAATTTGACAATTGCTGCTAAGACCTTGACCAATACCTTAACATATTATGATGCAAGTAACATGCAAATATTAGTTATCTGATTAGTAAAAACTATATACCATTACACATGTAAAAAAAAAACATACCATTGGTTGCTTCCCCATCATATATTCATATAATATGTTTCTCAGATATTCCATTTCTACAAAGCACTTATCATCGTTGACGTCATCTTCATTTGTACTAAGCTTGTTGTGGACTTCATTTCTGAAAAAAATATGACAATTTTAATAATTGAAAAACAGAAACCATTATTTTAATGGAAACGATTGTAAATAATTAATTGCTTACCTATACATTTTTTTGATTTCAGAAAGCTCTTTGTTAAGCTTATTTATTTGGCGTTGTAACATTTCTTCCCGTTGGGATACGGTTTCGACATTTTGTATAATATTTTCAAGACCCTGTATTATAAAGCTATACATTAGTAATGAAAGCAATTATTTATTTTAATAGTTTAGGATGTTGTCCAAACCACTATTTGTGTGAAATTATTCCATAAAGGGACATTTATTTAACGTTTATAATTATACTTAAATAAAAATAAAAAAAATAATAAAAAGCACCTCTTCACATTTATTGTCAGTGATCATTAATTCTGAAAGTTTCTGCAAAACAAAAATAATTAAAATAATAAACAAACAAAAAACAAATGACAACCATTTATTAGCAAATAATTAATAAAGGAAATCATTTTTACTGACTTTCCGTTCATTGTTCCATTCTTCAGTCAGAGCATCTAGTTCTTCTCGATGTTCCGTATCCATCATTTTCTTATAGTTATCCATTTTTTCTAGCCATTTATTTTCTGTTTCTATTAACTTATCAGTCCATTTCTTCTTTTCCGTCTAAAAAATTATTTTACGTTTTGATATAATTTTACTTTAAAAGAAGAAGTATAACATATTAAGAATTTATCAAACCCTATTTGGAACAATTTAATTTCTTATAGTTCCCAAAACAGCATTACAATTTTGGGATATTATTAATAAAATGATTTTTGGTTATGGCAAATTTTTGTAAATGTTGACTTTGCCTTTTTGTAGCATCACAGTCGATATGTATATTTGTAAAAAAAAAGAAAGGTGATTTTTACCGCTAAGTATTCCGCATGCTCGAGTTTCAAGTCTCTAACTACATTCTTTTGATTATCCAGACTTTCTTGTAATTCCTGTATAGTTTGCTTTACTTCAGCTTTCACCTCCAGCTGTTCATTCTTCTTGTACCCTGTTAAAAGATCAATCATTAGCATGCAGTTTTATGTACATGATATATTAGATCAGCAATAATTGATTAGTTTGAAGTATAAATAATATTACAATAAAAAAAACATGCATACCATTATTAAACATCTACTGCAAAAGAGTTGAACAAAAGTTATTGCATAATATTACTCTTATACTTACTATCAAACTCTTCTTGTAATTTTACTACATTGTTACTCTTTTCTTCAAGCTTTTCATTATATTTACACAGCCTTTTCATAACGTCTTCATTATATTTGTCCAATACATCTTTATTGAAATAATCTATTAAATCAAGGCAATCAGTTTTCAACTGGCAGTACGCATTTTGTACTGAAGTATTTTGTTTTCTCGATTTTTCTAAATTATCATTATAGTATTGAACATTATTTTTTAAATCGGCATTAATTTGGTTAGAAAAAGAAACAAATAATAAAGACCATTCTGTAAATTGATTAAAAACATAAGACTTCAAGTTCTTGAAATCATACTTGATTGTTTTTATCATTTCATGAACCATTAGGAGAACTTTTTGCCTCTCTTTTTTCAAATATGAATTTTCTTCCGTTAGCAGACTAAAATCTTTTACAACAGATTCGATACTGCGTTCTTCTGAAATTTTGTTTAGTTTGTCTTGATTTAACTGACTTAACATTTCTTTGTGTAAACTATTCAAATGATCAAATTCAAATTGATTTTGTTCTATCATCTTCTTCATAGTTTTTGCTTCCTGTTCTTTTTCTTCTTGAACTACTTTAATGATTTCTTGCAATCTTTTGTTGGAATTGTCGTGTTCTACAATTTGCGACTTCAAATCTTTTTCAGATTCTATTAAACTTTTGTTCTTTGCTTTTAGATTTTCTAGTTCATTTATTAGGTTAGAATATGAACATTTATTTTCATTAATACTGTTATTCAACATTTTTACTTCCTCTTTTAATTTATCGATTTCATCTTCTTTTTGTTTTAATTCATTACTGTGATTACGAGTAGATTTCTTGGCTTTTTCATTTAACTGGTTCATAACATTTATTTCTTCTTGCAATTGATGCACAAGTGAATCATTTTTTTTAACCTTCTCTCTTAAAATTATTATTTCACTTTCCAAATGATTTTTCTCATTATCAATTTCCTTTGCCTGGTCTTTTAAGTGATTTTCTACTATTTGAATTTCCTTAATTATATTGTTTTTTTTATTTACTTGCTGTTCTAAATTTTCAATGATTTTTTCTAGTTTACATATTTTGTTATTCATAATAGTTTCTTGATCTTTATTATTCAATTGAATAACATTTAATTGTTCGTCTTTGACTTTAATTTCGTCGAACAATTCTTTAACCTGAGTTTTTAAACTGTTAATCTCATTAGTATATATTTCCAATTCGATTTTAGCCTTTTGTCCTAAATCATTTTTCTGTTGTAATTTGTCTTCTAGTTCATTTATTATGTTGTTAAGCTCTGTGTTATTTTCTAATTCTTTATTTAGTTTTTTGTCATTTTCTAATTTTGAAGATTTTAGTTCTCTCAACTCTTCATTCTCCTTTTCCATTTGGGATTTTAATAGATTCAGTTCTTCAACTTTCTCACTAATTGTTCCTTCATGTTTTTCATTTTGATTTTTTAACTTTTCCTTTAACTCTTTAGCTTCAGTTTTTAACATATTTATTTCTTTATCTTTTTGCTCTAAACTCAATGAAAGCTCTGGAATAATTTTCAGTTGTGACTTTAAATCATGTATGTCTCTATCTTTAGTTTCCATTTGAGTTTTTATGATTTGTGCTTCTTCAGTTTTTTCCTTTAGCTTTGAATCAATGTCTTTCAGTCTTTCGTCATATTCTTTATCAGAATTCGAATTTTCTTCGAGGGCTTTTAATTCTTTTTCAAGAACTATTATTCTATCATTTTTCTTATCAATGTTTAGCTTAAGTTCAGCAATACTTTTATTTTGTTCTTTAACATTATTTATTTCTATATCCTTTTCATCTACTAATTTTTTTAATTGTGTAATTTCGTTTTTAAAACTATTGACTTGTTGTTCTGATTTTTCAAAATCTTTTTTCACTTTTTCCACATCTTTCAATTGGTTGGTTAAATTTTTTATTTTTTGTGATTTCTCACCAATTTCTTTTAAAAACGTGTCAATTTTTTTAGACCCTGATATTTTGTCATCATTCAAATTCAGTTCCAAACGTGCTACTGTTGATTTAAGATCTTTAATTTCTTTGTCTTTGGAGTTAACAATTTCTCCCACAGATGAGTTTGACTGTTTTTGAGATTCTAAATGTTTTTCTAATAGCTTTATTTGATCTTTTAATGTTTTTATTTCATTTTCTTTACATTCAAATACTGAAGACATTTCTCCTTCTAAGTCAGTTAACTGCCGAGTCATATCCTGATGGACTTGTTCGTCAATCTTTATCTATGTACAAAAATACAATTTATTAATTTAAGTTAATGAAATAACATAGTTATAACTCAAAACCAAAACGTATTATTTCTTTAATAATTAGGGTACTCTAAAATACCAAAAAAGTATGATAAATAGGTTTGGGACTTATAGCATATAAAATTATCATAAGGAGCGCTTTAAAACTTCATTGTAATTATATAATTAAGTTCTTAAAAAAAAAAAAAAAAATAAGAAAAAAAAGCAATCTCAAAAATAGCAACCCTTTCCCACTTAAAAAAAAAAAAAATACTGAAAACAAGTTTTTCCTGTTATATTTTAAAATACTAGATATCAGTGCATATGCTAAGTATATTTTTCTAAGATCACAAAAACCATTAACATAAAATTATGTTAAACTAATGAAATACTTTTTGAATGCTTACACTTTTAAAAAACAAATTTAAAACCTAAAACAATTAAAAGCCCCGCTGCTTGTATTTTGGCAGCAAACACCGTGTGGACGGACAAGGTGTTTTGGGTTGTAATATTAGTAGTTACAAAATGTTTACAGTATACAGAGAAGAACTAAACCGGTTCATAGCGTTTTCATTTTGTCCATTTGTTTATTTAAAGTCAGTAAGTAATAATTTAAAAAAAAAAAAACGTGAAAAAATCTTAATAAATAGGGGGTATCACTTAGGTCCTCTTAACGATTAGGTTAAAATCACCGATTTACCAGGAATCAATTATAGTTTGTTAATTCATTATGCAATGTTATCAAAGTGTAGGAATATTTTTTTTAAGGTCTCATAGTCAGCAACGACCACCATAACATGTAACATAAAAAACAAAACGAGTACGAATTGGGTATTACTACTAGGTGAAAGAATACAAAGATGAAGACAATTTAAGTTTTAGTTCTACTACATACACACACTGAGGAAAAAAAACGTGTTATTGTCATTGGCCTGTGTCCTTTGAGTAGAAAATATGCATTGAAGCAGAAAAAAAACAAGAATAAAAATTTTTTTCAAATTATCATCGAAATAGCAATAAAAGCATTTCCGAAATTCATATTTGACATTGTAATATGACATTAATTTTCATAGTACTCAATCCAAAACAATAAGCAAATGTGTTTAATCCCAAACCATAATGATAATTATTAAAATTACCTGATTGGCATTTGTAAGTAATTGACTTGTGTTCCCTATAAAAAACAAATTTAAAAAAAAACAACACCAACTTGAATCCATTATAATAATAGTACATTTTTGAGAACAATAATAGTAATATGTTTATATTTTCTCCTAATTCTGAATTATAAATATTAAACACACTCTTTACCTTTTGACAATATTTTATTTTCCATTTGTAACCCATTAATCGTTTTTTCCAATTTTTTAATTTGGTCTTCTTTCAACTCAAGTTCTTTATGTATAGCCATTTTGTTTTCGGCCAAACTTAGTAATGTATTTTCCTCACTTTTTTTTAAACATTCTATTTGTTTTTGAAGTGAATCACATTCATGTTTTGATAACCTTAATTCTTCATTTAATCTTTCACATGTTAACTATAGTAACACACCAAAATACATTTTTACAGTACATTATTGTTTGAATTTAATTGATAGGAAAAAAATAGTATGTCACACCGATAGATCAGTTGAATCTGCTGACAGCGATATTGAGTCGTCCTCATGTTCACCATTTTTTCGTAACAATTCAATCTAAATATATTTAAAAAGTAGTAACCACAATTTTAGCTTTGAAACATACTGTAAGGTATTAGTTTTTTAATTTCAATTTTAGTAGCCAATAGTCTCTATAAATACATTTAAATTGACCACTACAAATTAATTGTAGATACTTGATGTTTGTAATTTATTAATTATATTCATACTTTGGTGTTTAAAGTAGATATTATATGATCTCTTTCTTCAATATCATTTCTTAATGCTTCTTCCATATGAGCTTTGGCCGCCTGTTCTAAGGTGCATTGTTCTTTAAGCTCTGTGATTCTCTGAAGTAATTTATCTTGAGCTTTGGTCATTGTTATCTAATAAATAAATAAAACATTTATTATTTTAAAAAAAAAATCGTAAAAAACACATAAAACAAAACGACAAAACAGTCTAAGCAACATTTTTCGTAGTTTTCAAGAGAGCTAATAAAAGATTTATACTATAGGTTGGTAATTTTATTCATTTTTTTTTCTTTTAAATAGCAATAAATCCTAATATTGTCATTAAAAACCTATTTTTTGAGCAAAAAAAATATAGTGTTGTTTTTACACCAAACTTAAAAATTTAATTTATCATTAAATAAAGGTGACAGCTGTTTTTGCGCATGCACATTGGATGAATAAAATATTTCTCCATCGCATAGTGTATGCCTTGTCCTTTAGACCATATTGTCGTAAAAGAATCTAAATAACAATTAATTAAAATTACTTTGTCTTTGTCGTGTGTTAATAGAGTCTGTTTAAATTTACTGGCTAATTCTGCATATTTATTTTTATGTTTGTGGTAACGGCCATGAAGCTTTTTATAAGCTGCATATAAGTTTTCTTTAGTAATTTCATTGGCATACTCTGATACAACACTAACATTGTCATCTATCTCACTCGCAGATTCCAAATCAGTCTGAAATTTTAAAATGTATTTCCAGATGTTTGATTATTTGATAGTAAAATAACAATGCGAGTAAAATATTTAGTTACTTACATTAAATGAAGAATGATGATCATTCGCTAACGATGATGAAGATTGGCTAAATTTTCCAAGATCAACTGTAGTGCTTTCGCTAACAGCCACTCGGGCTGGCGAATTTTTTGGTGTGACTAAAAATGCATAGTAACATAAATGTAATTATTTTTAAACAAATACAATACTTTGATTACAATTTATTAAAGTACCTTCTATTTCATCATCGATACAAAACTGAGAATCATTTGGTTCTGTAGTTAAAGGTGATAATGTAGAAAATCCACTCAGCGAAGGACGATTCTAGAAATTTAAAATAAAAAGGTAAATTAAAAATGCTACAAAAGCAAAATATACACGAATAATATTACTTGAGTTACAGAATTTGGTTGTGTTTTGGATTCGTCGATTTTCCCAATAGAACCTTTAAGTTTTTTAAACATTTTTATAATTTATAATAATATGAACTTTATATGAGAATTTTTATTTAATACTTTTTGGATTTGATTATGATATTCAATATTGACTCTTAGTAAATAATTCTTATCGCACACATTTATCTTATCAAACCTTATCTGTAGTTGACATGTCAATTTAAAAAGGTATAACGATGCGTTCAGCAATTTGATTTAAAAATATAATATAATATAATAATTAATCAAAATATTTTTTCAATGCTCCATCTGAATAATAATGCAAATGCATAATTTAAAGCAATACAAATTTTTAATTGAATATTTATTTTAAATTAATCATATGTACACTGGTGAAAGAAAAATGTTCTTAAATTATCAAATGCTGAACGTGACCAAATTACATCAGGTTTATTGATAACGATTCGTCAATACTTTTTTGAATACATCATCACGTTCACTTTTTACATTTTGTGTCTCTTTCAAGATTTTCAATTAACTCTTTTACAAGTTATGGACGATGAACTGTCGGACCCTTTAAAATTAGTTGGTAGCGAACCAGCTGAACTTAAATTTGGTTCAACATTTACAGGCAAAGGCCCTGGTTTCCATACGCTTCGATGTAAGTAGATCATTTATTTTTTAGTAATTCAGCCTTGCCATTTTCAATGTTGGGAATTTTTTTTTTTATGAATTTACAAATTATTTTTATTATTTACTGACAGTATTGTCAATAAATTTTATCCTCAGAATATAATAATGTCTTGAAATTCATAATTTACTTTACTTAGTTTATTAATGCTATCAGATTTTGTAAAATTTTTCCTATTTGTCGTTTTAGATGATTTTAAGCCTGCCAGTGTAGATATTAACAAACCCGCAAGTGTTGACATTAATCCGTCGAATCGTGAGGTCACTGTCAAAGTACCCAATTTTGAGGGTGCTGGTGCAGCGCACACATTGTACAAGGGTTCGCACAAAGATTACACTAAAGAATGTGTACTGATTATTGACCATTTGACTGGAGAAATTACTTTAGAAAAACTCACTACTAATGTACAACTCAAATCTACTAGGTAAAATGTTAAAAAATACATAGTTTTTAAAATGTAGCCCATACAGCAAAAAATATTTAACAATATTTTGCCAAAACTTAATTTTGAAAATATTAACAATAAAATTAAATTTTTAAACATTAATATATTTTGGTTGTTGGGGAAAATTGGTAATATTTTTTATAGTTAAGTCAAACCTAACTTCAATTTTGCTTTGTACACATAACTAATTATTTTTAGAAATGCGGTCGAAAAACCACAAAAACCTGTTGTGCAAATTAATCCAGTTTTGTCTGAAAAGAATAGACCAACGCCTATAGATAAACGATTAAAAGGAAAAACGCAACTTAAACAACAAATAAAAAAGTCTCCCAAGAAAACATCCCAATCACCTAAAGTGGCTAACTTGTCACCACCTAGTAATGCTCAACATGTTAATAAGTCTCCACAATTTTGTATGTAAGTAATTTCCTGTATATTCACGTTATTAACCGCACACAATAGCTATTTCTGTAAGCTAAAGTAATACTTTAAAAAAAATTGTTGTTTTCTATTCAGGTCTGAATCTCCTATGTCATCCAGTCTTTCGCTTCTGAATGATGACGATTGCTCTATGACTGGGTTTGATTCCCAAGCACATCCTAGTTTTTCATTGTCTGACATCAAAACAGAAATTAAACCTGAAGTAAGTTCTATTATATAATTGAAAAATGGAATGTTTTTAAAAATTATCATTTATTTGTACCTTTTTTTATTAATTTTTTTTTTTGGGATGGGGGGGTAACTTAAACAATTACTTATTTAAAGGTTATTGGCTATTGCTGTCCTGAAGAGCAGGCTTCTTATGTATTAACTAGGAGTCGGATAGGATCCCAGATGTTTTTTAATAACATTTGTATTACAATCACATTTAGTTCAAAACTAAAACAACACTTAATTGTCAAAAAAAAATGTTTTAAGTATTTCCTATACAATTTTAGACAATTATTGTGAATAGTAAAGAAATGAATACTTAAACTCTTAACCATAAAAATAATACACTTTAAGCATATACTGAGTCTGTTGTTATTGCTAAAGATGACAATATTGTTACCGAAATACATATACGCATAGAGTATTATATTTATGGTTAAGGGTTTAAGTATTCCTTTTTTACTATGTTACTATGTATATAACCCTAAGTTGCTTAAATTTTTTTCTAGAATTGTAAATTTTACTTCAAAATAATAAAACCAAATGTTAATACCTAACTGTAACATTAAAAAAAATATATTAAAAACCTCTTGTGTGTTTATATAATGAACAACTCAAAGTTCATTTATTTCTTGTTTTTTATACAGTTTCGAGATATCATATTATTAAATTAAGGCACCAATTACACTGTCGAAATCTTAAAATTCTGACTATAGTCTATAAATATTTAGGAATGTTTTTTTTTATAATTTGCTTTGTGAGCCACAGTGCTTTTGAAGTACAGCTGTCGTCTTATTAGTTTTAAAATTGAAATTTGTAGTATAGTATTTAATTATCAATTATTTTTAAAATTAAAAACAATGTATCAATTTTTAGTAAGTTATTATTTATTTCAGCCCTTTGATGATTTGGTACCTGCAGCTAGAAGTCTAGAACTTAGTGAATCTTCTAGCGATTCTGGTTCAAGTAGTTCGTCCGACAGTGATAGTGACGATTCAATACCACCTCCTCCGCCTTCTAAAAATACAGCTAAAAATACTAAACCCACGTTTAATTCACCAATTACTAATGGTTAGTCAATTATTATTTTGTTTAAAAAATTTTTTTTTAACCCAAAATTACTGTGTATTTTAGGTTTTAAAGAACGTTTAGTCGATCCTGGACGTATTTTAGATGAAGACCTTCAACTTTCAGAAACGGACTCTGACTGACTAACATTTTATGGAATACATACCAAATATCCAATTTCAAACCACTCAGTTGTACGTCAACAATATTTTTTTTTTCCGTATTATTATGTACTTTAATACCTACTTAAGTCTTTTTGAGTTAAATAAAAATAATAACAAAAAATACAAAAAAATGCATTTTATTTTGTGTTAGGCAAACAAATCAACAAGAATAACTTGTACATAAATAAAAAAAAAAAATAATTAAGAAAATGATTTCACTAACAGAACAGGTTTACTAAGGAGTTAGCATACATTAAAGGCTTCACTGGTGGATGTGGTACAGCTGTGTATGTTGTAAATTTTGGTTTAAGGCACTGACCCTCGAGTGTAATAAACGCTCCTTTGTTACCCATTGTGTCACAGTAGTTGGGAGCAGAGAATACAGTCACACATTTCGAGTCATGAGCTTCTTCGTACCCATTTGCTTTCACTTCATGACTTCGTATGATGTAATCTAAACTGTTCAACTCGACAAACTTTTTGGTGATATCTGGTCCAAATTGTACTCCGACACCACGTTTACTCGGTGAACGGCCAGGGGCGTCTTGTGGATCCGACCATAGTATATCACACATTAAACCTTCTTCTGGTGGTTGCCTGTTACGATAAATATTTTCAATGTCTTTCAAAGTGACATCATCTTTTGAAAATAATCCACCGTGCATAATTAACACACGTCTATTGATACAATGAGCCAGTGGAAGCCAATTATATACTTCAGTGAAAAGATTAGCCATCTCTACAGAATATTTAGATTTAACTTCACCTTCGAACCCGTACATACGATTCATAGTTACGCTTTCGTGATTTCCACGAGACATGAAGAATTTGTCTGGGAAAAGGAGCTTAAATCCGAACAAGGTAAAAATGCATTCTACTGAAAAAGATCCTCGGTCAACAAAATCGCCGTTAAACAGATATGGATTGTTATCTGATGGTAAACCGTTGAGTTCAAATATATTTAATAAATCATAGTATTGGCCATGAATATCACCACAAACAGTAAATTTTTCTTCAGCCTTAATATTAATATGAACAAGTGTTGGTTGTTTTTCTAAATATTTTTTAACATCCAACAATATTTTATAAGCATGTTTTTTATGTAACTTACCCTGTTCTCGGTAAGTTTTGATTAGTTCTTTCATAAAATCTAGTGTAACTTTACCATTATCTAAACTTGGACCACTATAATCATCTTCGATACTCATTGATTCAATGTCTATTTGTTCGGAAACACTCTTGGAATCTTCGACTGAAATAGCTTTTTCAAAAGCTAGTCTTTTAACCAACTTATTGCACTCTGTGTATTTCTGATAAGCGTCTTTATCGTTTGGTAACGCTTTAACTACGACTTCATAATCTTTCAACGCTTCTTTGAATTTCCCTAAAGACATGTACGCTGTTGCTCTTCGATAATAGCCTTTTAAATACTTCGGATCTAGTTGTATGGCTTTAGACGCATCGGCCAAGGCGTAGCCGTAGGCTTCGGTTTTGGAATAGGCGATGCTGCGGTTAGCATAGTAGGCGGCAAAGTTGTGAGGCTTGTTGGACGAACTTTCACACATGGCAATTGCCTTAGTGTAACTGTCAATAGCTTCGGCATATCGTTTGGCAGAAAAATGAGCGTTTGCCTCTTCCTTCATGCGTTCGGCATGGGTGATATCCGCTTCGCGGTAGTCTAACATACATTCACCATTCATTGTGATAAAAAAAATATAAAAAGAGGTAACAAATTAAAGAATTTAATAATTATTAGTGACAATAACTACGGTTAAAAAAAAAACGTATAATCAAACGCCAAATGTGGAAAATGGTAATTTCAATTTTGGCAAGCTGCGAGAATAAAATCGTATTTTGTTTATTTATTTATTAGAAAAAAAAAACTTTTACAGTGTGTTCCTGATAAACAACACGTGAAGTAGAATTATCAAAATATTCATCCAATAGAATTTGAACTTGTAAAATAATTTTTAAAAACATTTTACCTAGAAAAATAATAATAAATTAAAAATTTGTAGTTGGGAAAAAAACATCGAATCTTAATATTTTCAATATTACAAATTGGTAAATTATACTGTTAAAATTCAAAATTAGATTTTATGTTGGCAATTTTCATTTTATAGTCTAATCGGAAATTTTATTGAGATAGATAAGCGATGAACACGTGATAAGATGGGCAATCGCAAATCGGTAATAACTCATTTCTCAAACCATACAATTTACCGATATAAACTATAATTTATTAATATTGAGTTTTTACTTTTTGAAAAAAGTAACCGGTTGTATGCTTTGTTACGTTTATCGATTATGATGTATTAGAACTTGTTATTATGTTAAAATAACTAAAGAAATAAGAGTGATAACTACGTAACTACACGTTCTAATGAGAATTAAAAAACATTATGTGACAATTTAGGTGATGACTATTATTTAAGAAAGATAACTACAACAATGAGTGAGACACTTAGAACTTTAAAAGAACAGTCTAAAATGAGGAAAAAATTATTGGCAAAAACAGTAAATCACATTATGGGGTTTTACTAAATTTAACTTTAATATAAAATTTTCACATGTTTTTTTATAGCTTGGGTTTTCTGGAGTGCAACAGTTACGACGTGCTTTAAATACTCGAAGGGAAAGAACAATAGTGCGTCCAATTTCTAAAGCTGTTAACAAATGTACAGTACAATCGAGCATTCCTGAAGTAATCTATAAGGACTCTTCAACATTTCTGAAAGGCACTCAGTCTTCCAATCCACATAATGATTATTGTCAACATTTTGTTGACACTGGACAGAGGCCGCAGAACTTTATTAGAGATGTTGGTCTTACCGATAGATTTGAAGAATATCCCAAACTTAGAGAACTAATTCGTTTGAAGGTAATAATATTACCTAATTAAGAAAATAATCCACAGTTTTTACTGGATGCAAATAATCTCTTGCTATGATTTTATTTTATTTACAAATAAATTAAAATTAATTCTTGAAATAATTTATAACTTATTTAAATATTATGTAATATTTTATAACTTATCTCTAGGGCTCGGAAGTTAATTACCCAAAAAAGACATAACCTTTAATCAGTGGCACGGGTTAATAATATCTCATCTTAAGCCCTACCATATATGAATAAAAAATTTTGACACCGACGGAAGGTAAAAAAAACTCCCTAAAAAAGTTTCTAAAACTTTCAAGTCAATTATAAAGACAAATAATTATCCAATAATATAAAAATTTTTAAAATATCACATAAATGTTTAAAAAATAATAATATTTACTTCTACTTAAAAACTACTTTACTTAAATTTGTACATAATCATTAAACCATTTGTAAAAGACATTTAAAAAAAATAAATATGTATTTTCATCAATCATTTAAATTCTATAAAATAAATAACAAAAAAAATGTCTTTGGAAAAATATATAATTAATTTAAAATGCCTTCACGTTCTTGACTTTTTATATAACATTAATAAGGTTAAAAAAAAAGAACCATTAAATTTAATTGTTAAACTGAATATTTGTTTATTCATTTTAACCTTTTTTTTTTTTTATCAATACAGGATGAACTTATACAACAAACTGCTACTCCTCCGATGTTTTTAAAGTGTGACCTCAATTCGTTTAGTTTTAAGTCGTTAAACATCAAGTTTGATGTTATACTAATTGAGCCTCCACTTGAAGAATATCAACGTACTATGGGAGTGTCAAATACTAATTTGTGGAATTGGAAACAGGTAAGTTTTTATTTTTTTCAATACGTAACCATTTGTATTCTAATATCTATAAATTATATATAACTACACTTTTTACAGATAATGGATTTAGAAATAGGAGAATTGGCTGCTAATCGTAGTTTTATTTTTCTTTGGTGTGGTTCCTCTGACGGCTTAGATATGGGCCGGGACTGTTTACGACGCTGGGGTTTCAGACGCTGTGAAGATATCTGTTGGATAAGAACCAATGCAAAAAATCCTGGTCATTCTAAAAATTTAGAACCAAGTGCACTCTTCCAACGTACTAAAGTAATCAATTTTTTATTTATTTCTACGTTTAATAAATTTTAATAATCCTATTTTTTAAATTATTATTTTTTTTTTTTTTTTAAGGAACATTGTTTAATGGGTATTAAAGGTACAGTACGTCGTTCTACTGATGGTGATTTTATACACGCTAATGTTGACATTGATTTAATTATAAGTGAAGAAAATGAACAGAATTTGATAGAAAAACCAGTTGAAATTTTTCACATAATTGAACACTTCTGTCTCGGTAAAAGAAGGTATTGATTTGGTTGTATTTTTAAAATAGTATTTTTTTTAACAAATTAACATTTTAGAATGATAAATAATGTTCTTTTTTTTTTTATTCATTATTTATATAGGTTACATTTATTTGGTAGAGACAGTACAATTCGTCCAGGCTGGTTAACATTAGGTCCAGAATTGACAAATTCTAATTTTAATACCGAAATGTACAACGGATATTTTAATAACGGTCATGTTACTACTGGCTGTACTGACCGTATTGAAGTACTACGGCCAAAGTCTCCTCCGCCAAAATGTAAAATACAAATGGGTGTCAGAAAAAATATTTCCTGTATGAACAGAGGAAGAGGGCGAATTTGAAATTTTTATACGCAAGACTGAAAATAGTTATTTATTATACTATCTCTCTACCTAATGCTTCATAGAGGGCTTTAGTAATGTTTATAATATCAATTGTATATATTGATGTAGGGATTAAAGTGACATATAGTACTGATATGAGTTAAAGTCTGTTTTTACTTTTTTTTTTTTTTATGTACATGATATTTTTAAAAATGATAAAAATTGTATACATTTTCTGTAATAATTGATGTATTGGCTGTGTACAGCAGTTATATAAAAGTTTGAATATCGTGATTATTCACAATTGTTTGTTTTTATTAAAGTATTTGCCTTTTTTTATTTATATTATTAACAGACCTCAAACAATTTATCTAGAACATAAATCAAATTTTAATATTATGTGTCAGAGTTATTAACATGGCTGTTGGAAAAAAATATGGATTGAAATTTGTGTCAAAATTATTACTTTATTGACTCTTGTTCCATAAATGTCTATTAACCACCTAACATGTGTAAACAAATTGTTTCCAATATATATCATATTTGTTGTGATTCCATTGTATTAATTATGTTTTTAGTTGGTAAAGATTAAATATTGGATTACTAATAGTTTGCCATCATTATGTCAAATTATTAATAATTGTTGATTGCACTTAAAAATAAATTGAAGTGTGTGTTGTTGTTCAACCAATATTGACAGAGTACGGTGTATCACTAAAATATTAGTCTAACTGGTACACTGTATGTGTGTCACTTAATATTTATTGTTGTTTTAAAACGGATTGTGAATGCTTGGTACTATAAAACAAATTAACAACTTGATGATAAATGTAGCACATGCTGACATCATAATAGCAATACTTTTACATTGAATGAATCATTTGTGTTCAGATAGAATATTTGAATATATATTTAGTATTGGAAGTTTTAGAAAAAGAAAAAAACATTTGGGAAAATAATATAATTATTGGTTAATAATAGGATTTTTTTAGTGTAATTGATTTATAATTTACATTTTTCAAACATTTGGCCATTAAAGATTAAAATTAGTATACGCCATAATAAATATTTTAAGATCTAGGTTATGTATATTTTGCTATTCGTAGATGTAAATTAATTATTAACTCATTAAAAAAAAAAATATGAGTAAATTATAGCATTTAACAGTAACTATATAGGCTATAAATGTAATAGTTTTTAAATGTGATAATTCCATAATAGGTGCATGAATAAACTCTTATGTCCAGAGACATTAATAATATACTTATTTATCATGACACGAAGTAGTACTACTGAAAAAAAAATTAATTTTTGTAACTAATACTTGTGTTTTTAAAACCTTTATAAGTTGTTTTTTTATTATTAACAATAAATTCTAAATAAAAGCACACGTAACATGTACTTGTTAATTTTATTATGTATATTAAACAATAAACGTAATTTTTTTAAATAAACGTTTTTATTGTTGATACCACTACATCGCCTAAAAAAACTACCACTTGAAACACGGCTTATCTATAAAAAAATTACCAATTTGACTATTAAGTAATAATTATCCTACCCATGAAAAAGCATGTATATTACGTTGGTGGTTTAAGTAGCTTTTTCAAAAACAAAAATTCACTATCATGATTTTTAAGTTCAAGCAAATAATTTATAATGGCAATAAGTTATAGTTTTCATTTCCCAATTTGTATAGGTACTACCTCTGTTCGTAGAATAATGGAAAAAAACCAACACCCATGGAAGAGAGAGCCGTTCCTTAACCGTGGTTATGGGCATTATAGCGGTATAAACAAATGCTCTAGACGACCGACGGGACAGCCATTTTGACTCGAGGCTTATTTTCTCGGTTTCAGTTTATATGGGAATTCAGATTTTTGATGAATGATGAATGGGTTGTTATAAATTGTGATTTGAGTATTATTTGGCGTTTGTTAAGTTTTATTCACCACGGTTATCCTAAGGTATCTTATATAATTTGTAAGTATATTGTTATTATTATAATTACTAAAAAATGTAGAATATAGAAGGGTCGTCGTTTAAAATGCAACGATTTCTCTAATTATAGCGACTCTCTAAAAACGTTAGTTGAAAGAATAGACATGTACTTAGAAGTATTGGTTTCTTCACCAGGCTTAAAGTTTATATCGATTCTTATATTTTGTTTTCTTTAGTTTAGTTTCTAACGTTCGAAAGAACTCTTATCACCTAGGGTTGTTGACTATTAAACATACATTTTTAAAACTAGTAAAACGCAAATTTTTATGTAAAATAATAGTTTGAATATACTTAAAATATGTTCCTTGGCAGGTGAAAGTGTGATCACTGAATACTGATGTATTATGTAAAGTATCATAACTCGTAGACTTAAATAAACTTGTACTTTCTTAAATTTTCATTCAGGTACGTCATATTGGCGATTTTAATAAAATTATATTTTTTTTATCAAAAAATGGTTATCTTGTGTATCATAGTTGTGTGTAGGGTTATGATGATATAGTGTAAATATCAAGATTACGAACAGTGTATTATTGTTGCAGTAAGCTGAGTTTTATGCTATTCAACCAAAATGAATCAACCAGAACAGGAACAAGAACCTCAAATGGACGAAGAACAGAAAGAGTCTAGTGAAAAGACGGAAGAAGACAACCAATCCAATGAAGGCTTTGTTGTAAAAATGAGAGGATTGCCCTGGTCAGCAACTGCTGATGATATCATAAAGTTTTTGAGCATTTTAGGTAATATTATCCGTTTGTTTATTTGTTGATATTACTATCTAATAATATTTTCCACAAACAATTTTAAAATAGTATGCCCGAGTGTGATGAGGCGACATGTGTTGTAACTTATTGCTAAGCAAGCTAATTTTAACGAGGAAATAGTCGCCTTAACACAGGTCTTTAACTTTGTTTGATCAATATTAAGATCACACTATTTTGTAATCCTAACTTGCTAACTCAAAATTAGTTGCAGATGTTGAACAATTTAAATTATTTTATAACTATTTTAGGAGAAGCAAAAGTAAAAGGTGGAACAGCTGGTGTTCATTTGACAATGGCAAGAGAAGGACGACCAAGTGGTGAAGCTTACGTTGAAATGGAATCAGAAGATGATCTTAAAGCTGCTCTAAAAAAAGATCGTGAGCATATGGGCAACCGTTATATTGAAGGTTATACTTTTAATTTATTCATGTTACATAACCAAAGTCAATTATATATTTTTATTAAAGTAATATAATATATTATAATTGACATACTTGATTTTTTTCTAACATCTTTATTTCTATTGTTTTCTTTTGTAGTTTTTCGATCTAAACGTTCTGAAATGGAGTGGGTTATAAAAAAAACTGGTTCAACGCTTGATAGTGTCCTTGATGACAATTGTGTACGTTTACGAGGCTTACCATTTGGGTCTACTAAAGATGACATTGTACAATTTTTCCAAGGTATGTTTGTTGATTAATTTTAACATCAACAATTTAGCAAGTTCTATTTTATTTTGATAAATTTTCATTATTTTACTTGCACATGGTGATTCATTTTTTTCTTCCTAATTACATACATTCATATAGTCACATCAAGTCAATATTTATACTGTACTTATAAACATAAGTTAAAACAAGTATTTTTAAATTTCTATCTCTTAAGTAATTGATTGTTAGTGCTGAAGTAAGAGAAAAACACCTTTGTTTTGCTCTAATTTGCTGCACCTAGGTTGGCGTTTGTTTAAAAGAAATAGTTATACTTTTTCAACTCTATTGTTAGTCGTACTATAAGAATACTTATTGATGTATATTATATTATTTAGTATACTTATTTTAATTCTCTTCCACTGCAGAATTATTATTTTATGTAATAAAACTGATGAAAATGATTGAGTTAGTAGAATGTGGATTTAGTATGTTACTCTCATGAATCACCTTGTTTCTTTTAACGAATATATTCTGTACATTTTCTGATAATATTTATAAATAATACCTTTTGTTATTTTAAATGTTTGTTTTTGGATGTGCTATTAATTGGGTTATCTATGATTGGTTGTATTGTGGGCAACAGGGTTGGAGATGACACCAGACGGTATAACCATAGCAACCGACTTCACGGGGCGGAGTACGGGGGAAGCTTTTGTACAATTTGTAGACAGAGAGAATGCAGAGAAAGCTCTGCAGAAACACAAGGAGAAAATAGGACACAGGTGGGGTGTCTTCCTCTATTTATCCCGATGTATATTTTGGCGGGTAATATAATCACTAGTAGTTTATGTAAAGGGAGGCTGGGAGAGTCATCCTTCGCTCCTCCTTTTTTGTGGTTTGTTAAATTTAAATAATTTAAGTGGTAATTTATATTGTGAGTTTTATACTAGTATTTTTTTTTTGTTTATATACAATTTTGTATTTACTCCATAATATTGTTAGGCATTAATATTATAAAATTATTGTTGTATATCCATAGAATATATTGCTAATTTATGTATATGTATGCTTTCTCAGATATATTGAGATATTCCGCAGTAGTTTAGCTGAAATTCGAAATCAAGCTTTACAAAGGCGTCCTCGACAAACTCCTTATGATCGAATGGACCGGTTTAGTGGGGGAGGAAGCAATGGAGGTGGAGGTGGTGGTGGCGGCGGCCGATATTTCGACATGCCAATGAGAGCTGGACGCAACATGAAATCATTTGGAAATAATGGTTACGACAATGGCGGTCCTTGGAATGGTGGTAGAAACATGGGAGGACCAAGAGGAGGAGGAGGAGGTGGAGGCGGCGGCGGCGGTGGTCAAGGAATGATGGGAGGAGGTGGAGGTGGATGGAACAGCAATAATTGGAATGCTCCACCAAGTAGACCAGTATACGTAGTCCATATGAGAGGACTTCCATTTAAAGCTAATGAAGATGATATTGCTTCTGTAAGTGTATAATTTTAGTTTTTGTAAAATATCAACATGATTTAGTGTTTGAATTTTATAATTACTGTTTATATAGTTCTTCGAGCCATTGGATCCGGTTGAAATACATATTTTATTTAATAACAATAATCGACCATCCGGAGAAGCTAATGTCGAGTTTGCTTCTAAAGAAGATGCCTTGAGAGCTATGACGAAGGTAGTTTTTAAATTATTGATGATTTGTAATATATAATTAAAATTTAGTGCTTTGTCAATAATATATATTAAAAATATGTTTAGGATAAAACATATATGCAACATAGATACATAGAATTATTTATGGATGGACCAGTAGGCGGAGGATCAGGAGCTGGCGGTAATAATTTCAGTTTAGACGATATCGGACCTCCTAATGTTGGAAATGGAAGTGGGAACTTTGGAGGATTTGGTGGCAACTCCTTTGGTGGTGGCAGTGGCAGTAATAACTCCTTTGGAAACAACACATTTACTAGGCGTAATGAGAATTCAGGCCCACCAAACTCATTTTTTTCTAATAATATGAGTGGCAGTAGATATCCCAGGCCATCAGGACCCATGAATATGGCTGGTCCCGGCCCGAAATTCAATCCGTTTTAATATAATGTATAAATAGAAAGAGAAACTGTTTGACTAAGTATTATAATGCTATGCTATACGTTGATGTATAATATCAGAATCTTAAACTAAGTGAAATACATTTTCCTCCTCCCCTCAAGTTAAATACTATTTTGATTAGTGTACACTAAAATTTTATTTTTTTTGACAATGTATTCACTATTCGTAAATTATTTAGTTCATAAGCATTCTTAGTAATTATTTTTTTTGTGCTAGTTTAAGAATGAACTTATGTTATCTGTGAAAGTAAGAAGTAATAATGCATACATACATCAAAGTAATAAAAAATCATATTGTAATTTATCCAAAACAAAATTTTACCCTTATTTTTATTAGTTGAAAATATTGTTTTTGCATAGACAGTCTATAGTTGCTCTTTGTAATTCATAATACAGAAATAATCTATTAATATTTGTATTAACTTCTTAAAATACAAGAACATTTTTTATACTTGAACTAATTTGTACTCAAATTTTAATAAATAAACAATTGTACTTATTTACAACACAGTATTACATTATTTAATTTCCGGCAAGAAAGTAAATTGGCAAAACAGATAATTCAACATAAATTATTTGATACATGTCTACATTCTATTACTGTTAAATATTTGATGTAAAATATCTAATGTGCTACAGAAACTTTAAAATGGTAGGTTAATATACCTGAAACACGGTTAAGATAATACTCAAAATATTATGTAATATATTCATATTACATGCAATAATAAGTATTACAATTATTCACAATATTATGTTTATTCATGAATTTCTTATAAATAAAAATATTTGGCTGACTTCTATACAAATTATGATTATAATGTATTGTTACACTGAAAATATTTTTTCTTACACTACTAATTACTAAAGATAATAATAACACATTTTATTTACAAAACTACTATATATTTTGTTTGGTACAATTTTCATACAATCAAATGTTATGTAATGAATTATAAAAATTAATTAATTTTATCGTCTGGTTTTGGCGGAAGTCTAAAACCGACCATTTCTGCTGTCTCTTTGACGCTCTTCTCCTGCCGGTGATTCTGAATGACGAGTTCTCGGCATATACGCTGTCCACGTATGTACTGTAAGTATGCGTCGGCTACCCATGTCATTTCACTCGGACCTCGGCAATACTGCGCAGATGTTACTTGATTAGCTCGGTATTCGGACAAAATCCACCGTACCAATGGCCGGTTTACCACTTTGTTGTCCGACGAGAAATGCCTGAGTTCTCGGACGATGGACTTGAGTAAATCGATGGGTTGTTTCGGCGGCATTTTAAACAAAAATTAACCCGACTAAAAAAGGAAACAAAACAAAAAAATGTAGAGAAAAATTGTTCAAATTATTAAATCATGTTTTTAAATAATAGTTGTGAAGTTTTGTGATTTCTTCATAAAACGTTTGGGTAACGAAAATCGAAACTCAAAATCCGAAAAGTCCTTATCGAACGTTTGAAGATCAGGTGATATCACTTATCAGCTTATGGTTTATCACTTGTCAGGTCTTTGGTGGTTTGTGATACAAAATGTGTGACCGGCATATTATTTAACCGTGACGTGAGTCGTGGCGTCGCTAACATCAAGTCGTGTGTTTCTTATGAGAAGCCACATAATGGCATGCGATTGGTCGGCCTTACGTTCGTGTTGTGATCCCATTGGTTTGATTTTTTCTGAAATGAACAGTTATTGCCCTTTGCGGTGCATTCGTCTCGTATCGTCGTATAATAGTTAGTTGGTGTTCGTAAGTTACATGTTACATTTGTACGTAGTCAGTTTTTTGTATTCTGAAAATTCCTTTATTATTTTTTCCCAACAATAGTTTTATTTTCGTATGCTTATATCGTTAAAATCCCATCAGACATGTTAGGACTCAAGTATTCAATACTTGTAGTTTTGTGTTTGGCATTCGTGCCTCTGAGCGGTAAGTTTATCTGGTCGATTTTTGTATTTAACATTTAAAAATTTTAATATTAAATTTTAACATTTTTCCCATGCAGATCGCTATGTTTCCGGAGACGCAGGTATCCAGTTGGATAGTTCAGAGGAACTCAAAGTCGACGCCAACATTGGAGTCAGCAAAGAAGGAGCAACGACCGGTACGATTATAGTTCTTACAGAGTTTCCCAACAACAATAGTGTTGAATTCATTTTTTTCGAACAAATATTATAAATCTCTTTAGACTGCCTTAGCTTTTTTGTTGCTATCATAGTGTTTTTTTACACTGATTAGAACCTGAAGTCGGAAGTATGTAGACTAAAACAAAGTTAAAGCTTAAAATTTGCATATTAAATATTTTTTGGGTTTACCGCAAATAATTGAAACCTAGATGATATTTTTGTATTTATCTCTTTTCGTCTTGGAATTATGTAGATGTATTTTTCAATATACAGAGATCCAAAAAATCCTAACTCGATAGATTTATTACATTTTTAAAAACTTAAAACTCGTCTTCTAAAAAAATTAACTATACCAACCTAAGAGTTAGCACTTTTTTTATTGGTACTAAAAAAATCAAAAAATCTGCTGTCTTTACCTCAAGTTTTTTTATCTATATAACTTAACTATGACAACTTAAGTTTCGAGTTTTCTCTATTGTTAAAACAAATAACAACTTTTTTATTGGTGCTGATAACATACAAACTAATATTGAAACAATAGGTTTGTTCGTTTTGACAATAAGTGTACACCAAAGCCTTAGTTTTGAAATAGTGTTGTATCAGTGTACACTTTTTTCACACGGACCGTAGAGTAGTTGTGAAAAAAGTGTACACTACACTAATTAGTGTACACTTTTTTTTAAAAATGAACAAAGCTCATATGATTTGTTCCTATGTAACTTAACTAACTATAAAAAAAAAAAAATTATAGCATTAGACAAGTTTATCTAAATGATGCTATTAAATTTATTGTTGACAGTATTATAACTTTAGTTTGAGATTTATGAAAACAAATCTTAATAATATTAACATATTATGTTGGTTTTATTAACCAGCGATCACATAATGCGATACTGAAATATTTTGCTTTGTAGATCCAAATGCCGCCAAAATTGAGGAAGAAAGAATAAATCTAGATGGGTTAAATGCAGCTCAGTTGCGTGAACTCGGTGAAAGCGCTGAGAAATTCACATTCCAAGCAGAGGTTAATCGTATGATGAAACTTATTATTAACTCATTGTACAGAAACAAAGATGTAAGTATTCTGGTTTCATAACATTGATAAAATTGTAGCTTATTTTTAATTGTGTTTTATAGATATTTTTGCGAGAACTCATATCGAATGCTTCTGATGCTCTTGACAAAATAAGATTATTAGCATTGACAGATCCTAATCTTCTGGACGCAACCAACGAAATGTCCATAAGAATTAAGGTATGATTTACTAGATAGTTTTCTTAATAGTTGTATATAGTGAAATTAAGCACAAGCTAGTTTCTTATAATTCCATAAAATATTTTTTTTTTAATTAATTGGGTCCGCTAGGAATAAATGAGAATTTACAAAACAAAATCTCATTCTGGTCAAAGTATCAAGATTAACTTTATAAATCTATTTTTCTAAATTCCTCTATTAATAATTTAACAAAAAAAAAATGTTTTTATTAAGAAGTATATGACATAATAAAATGAAGAAAATATCAGTGTCACATTCAGTGGTGTATTAGGGCATATTCTCTTTTCTATTTTTTAGTGATTTTATTTCATTTTATCACTTTCAGATTTAAAAATTCCTGTAAACCTGTGACCTCCCCGTCCCCACTAAGCTCCGTCCCCACTATGCCCCGACCCCACTGTACTGTTTTTTTTATTGTTATGTATACGTATTGGAATAAATTACTTATATGTAAAAATGGACGAATACCTAATTGTTTTAATATATTGAGAAGACACCACAGAATAAGTACTGTAGAGGTTATGACAATCAATTTATTAAATTTTCATAGAAAAATAAATGAGAATAATATTACTTATGCTTAGACCTAGTACATTTTTGTTGATCAATTAATTATTTTTTTTATGAATTTTCAAATTGTTTTTTTAATAAATTATTAAAAAGTAGTAGATTAAATTATCGAAAATTCAAAAGCACTAAAGCACAGATAAACTTTTCCTTTATTTACTGTAAAATTTTGGTCATTTTACAATCCGAAGACACTAGTTTTAATTAACGCAAATTATTTTGATGGAAAAAAACTGTAATTTTTCTTATAGAAATGACTGGGATAGTCTAGGAAAAAAATATAAAAACAATATATAAAAAATCCTCATTACTGTATTAATATTTAAGTATATGCTATTAATTAAGCATAATTTTTTGAAAAATTTCCTATACTTCATTTTTTAATAAATGAGTGGCTAGCGTCCTCTTGTGTGACATATTTTTAAAAAAAATCCTTGTGTTATGACTTCTGTTATCCTGATAGCTAATAGATTTTTTAATTTTATTACTGAAATTCAAATAATGAATTATAAGTAATTGTACAATTAATACCTAACATGTGGTTTTGCACATCTAGTATTAATAATAAATTATCATTTTATGCTTTCAGGTAAATAAAGAGTCGCGTATGTTACACATTACAGACACAGGTATCGGTATGACTCGCGAAGACCTAGTGAAGAACTTGGGTACCATTGCCAAGTCTGGTACCGCAGAATTTTTGAGCAACTTAAAGGAAGCAGAAACCCAAGATAAAAATATGAACGATATGATCGGACAGTTTGGTGTTGGATTCTATTCCGCTTTCCTTGTTGCCGATAAAGTTTTGGTCACCACCAAGCACAATGACGATAAGCAATATATATGGGAATCGGATGCTAACAGTTTTTCAATTGCTGAAGATCCTAGAGGACCAACACTTAAAAGAGGATCCCAAGTTAGGTTAGTAAAAACAATAATATTTTTTAATACACCTGTGTTATTATTATATTTCAATAATTTTAACATCTTTATGTTAATTGTTTAGTTTACAACTAAAAGAAGAAGCTATTGATAACTTAGATTTGGATAACTTGAGGAGCCTAGTGAGGAAATACTCTCAGTTTATCAACTTCCCAATTTATTTATGGGCTAGCAAAACCGAAACCATAGAAGAACCAATTGAAGAAGAAGAAGAAGAAGAAGTAAAATCTGAAGAAGATAAGTCAGAAAAATCTGATGAAGATGCTGATGTTGATGCAGCTGTTGAAGAAGACAAAGAAGAAGAAGATAAACCAAAAACAAAGAAAGTAGAAAAGACTGTTTGGGATTGGGAAATTCTGAATGACAATAAGCCAATTTGGACACGTAAATCAGGTGAGGTAGAACACCAAGAATACCACGATTTCTATAAGGCATTGACAAAAGACCATAAAGAACCGCTAGCCTATACACATTTCGATGCTGAAGGAGAAGTATCGTTTAAATCGTTGTTATATGTCCCCACTGCCCAACCTTCGGATACATTCAACAAATACGGAACAGTTACTGATAACATCAAACTTTATGTCCGAAGAGTATTTATTACAGATGAATTCAATGAATTATTGCCTAAGTATCTAAGTTTTCTCAAAGGTATAGTAGATTCTGATGACTTACCATTGAATGTGTCTCGAGAAGTACTTCAACAACACAAGTTACTTAAAATAATCAGAAAGAAGTTGATCCGTAAAGCATTGGACATGCTTAAAAAGTTAGACGATGAATCGTACAAGAAATTTTGGGCTGAATATTCTACTAAGTAAGTACATGACTAATATCTCACTCAGAAGTATTATTTATAAATACAATTCATAATTTAATCGCATATTTTTTTTCGTAGCATTAAATTAGGAATAATTGAAGATCCATCTAACAGAGCACGTCTTGCTAAGTTAGTACGTTTCCAATCATCAGTAGAAGAAACCCCTACGTCATTGGCTGATTACGTAAAGCGCATGAAGGAAAAGCAAGATCACATTTATTACATTGCTGGTTCTAGCAGGGCTGAACTCGAGAAGTCCCCATTTGTGGAGGGAATCATTCGCAAGGGATATGAAGTTTTGTACCTCATCGAAGCTGTCGATGAGTATACGTTATCTGCCATACCAGAATTCGAAGGCAAAAAATTCCAGAACGTTGCAAAGGAAGGTGTCTCATTGACCGAAGATAAGGCGAAGGCTGAAGAATTAAAGAAACAATACGAACCACTCACCAAATGGCTCGGAGACAATGCTCTCAAAGAACAGGTATATACAAATAACTTTAGAAAATTTATCTCTTTTTTTTTTCTTATTTTATTTTTTGTATATTATATACAATCTGTTCGGCTTTGCACAATGAGTATTTATATTTCTTGAAATATAAGTACTTGTTGTATTTACAGTTACAGACATGTATTTTGAGGAGAAAACCACCCAGTGTAGGCACCTATTTAAAACAGTTGAGTTGTTTATTTGTGGATTTTTGCACCATTTTCGGTTTACTGGGTGGATTTTTCATTAATTTAATTGCAGTTTGCTCTCCATATAAAATATTGTTGTACAGATTGATAATTTAACATTTTTAATAAATTCAATCAATGAAATAAGAGAGTAAATTAGCGCTTTCAGATTGTGTATAAAGTAAAACCTTATTGATGTGTATTTAATAATTATAGATTTCAAAGGCAGTCGTATCAGATCGTTTGGCAGACTCTCCGTGTGCTCTTGTCGCAGGTATGTTTGGTTGGACTGGTAATATGGAAAGGTTAGCTTTGTCTAATGCTCATCAAAAAGCTGATGACCCGCAAAGAGAATTCTATTTGAAACAAAAGAAATCTATGGAAATCAATCCTCGCCATCCTCTCATCAAAGACTTATTGAGGAGAGTGCAAGATGACCCCGAAGACCAAAAAGCCAAAGATATCTCTGTCATGTTGTATAGAACGGGTAAGTTTGCTGTACATAAATATGTTAAAAACTGTTTTTTATTGAAAAAAGTTCATTGTAAAATTATTGATTTACGTTTGTTTAGCCACTCTGAGATCAGGATTTATGCTCCAAGACTCTGCTAGTTTTGCAGAAAGTGTCGAAGCACTTATGCGACAGTCGTTAGGTATTCCACTCGATGAAAAGGTTACCTACGAGGACGAAGAACCAGTTGCTGACCAAGAAGAAGGAGAAGAAGCAGAGGCCGAAGAAGAAGAAGAAGAAAAAGAAGAATCACCAGAACACGAAGAGCTGTAAACGGGGTTGAATGTATAAAAATATATATTATTTTTAAGATAAACTGTATCAGTTCATCTTCTTTATAAGTCTGATTTTCAACATGTCAGAGTGTTATTTATTGTTTACATAAGTAATGTCTATATTTTACTATTATAAAATGCCAGTAACATGTTTGTGTGTTTTATTTAAAGTTTTCATCTTTAGATTATTTATTATTGAAATTACTTTTTTTTTTTTTTAATTAGTGTTTAACTCTAAATCATCAGACGAGACTAAAAAATATATTGTATTGTACAAATTATTATTGATAAAGAATACCTAATATATATTTGTTTATCACTAAATTAAGTATAGTTTTTCGTTTTATGTAAGACAATGTTAAATTGTTTTTTCTTTCCATTTTGAAATTAGTTTTTCTACAAAAGAATTTATTTAGATTGTTGTTCTAATAATTTATAGAAGAATTACTTTAATTGTATACAATTTGTGTAATGAGATATGGAACACTAAAATGGTTATTGTGTTAGGTTCTTTTAAGAAGAGTCATCAACTTAGTTAAAAAGTAAAACGATTTTTAAATTTTAGAAATATATAATTTCAACTAGTTTTATTTAATCTAATCGATGTTCAATTTAAAACATGTGTACCTCATAAGTTGTAATTGACATGTTTGTGATATTAAGTTTTGCACAATTAGAAATAAACATGCTGTGTTTAGTAATATGTAAAAAAAATTATCAGGGGCGCAAATTATAGGGAGGGAACTTGGATTTTCAGTCATAATGTCCTACATTTGGGACGTCTACTTTTTTACTATTATTTCATGGATATTAATTTTTATTAAGAGTTAATTTGAAATTTAGTTAAAATTCATAACTGAGAAGCGGTTTAACAATTCCAGCAATAAAACGAGCATAGTCCTAATGTTTTTTTTAAGGATTTTGGCGCATACCGTGTGGACAAAATCACCAAGGTACAACAATTTAAATTTGGAAGTTAGACCAACCCGGTGAAAACCAAAAGGATGATTAAATTTGAAAATTAGAAAAGCTACCTTATGTTTTAAAGTTGGCTACATTGTAATAGCAGTTTTAGTTAAGAAAATATTTGCCAACTGCAGCTAGCCGCTGCTAGTCGGAAATCGCAGTTGTTTAAATGTACACAATTTTCTGTTGATTTGATTGTACATTGTTATTTGTTTTCTTTCAAAAGTTCCCACCTAATAAGTATTACGTTTTTTTTTTTTTTTATATCACATTCGGAAATCCTGTGAGTTAGTCTTCTTCATTAAAATAATACTAATTACTATGTATTATAGAAAACGGACAAACGGCTGTATATTACATTAGCACGTTATTGTGCCTTGTATGAAAACCATATTGTCAAATTTTAATTATATTTTGGCTATTTAATTAAAAAAAGATGTCAATTTATGGGGCGTTTTTCTCGATTTCCAACTACCTATTTTGGTATTATAAAATATTTTATACAAGCGTTTTCTGTATGGATAACTGTAAATTAGTAACAACATTTTTGTGTAAATGTGTACTTTTGTTCAAAATAAAAATGTTTTTGCTTCGATGTGGAGCTGAGAAGTATTGTTTGTTTTTAAAAATATGTGTTTATAGTTCATATTATTTTATTTTTGTGCTACTAGGCCGACTTCTACATGTAACAAGTCTGTACATTTAAAATCGATCCCCAAAAATTAATTTTTTGAACCAAAACTTCAATAATATTACCCCTTTCTTTAAATTTTAGCAACCAAAAAAAAAAAAACAAATTTTCAATTAATAATCAATAAATTATTTTTTATTTAGATAAAAAAAGGAAATAATAATTAAAATTAAACAAATTATTTAAATAAAAGTTAAACTATTCAAATAATATAAATTTGTAATGTCAAAATTATTTAAAATAACAGGTTAAATAAAAATTTACTTAAGTAAAAATTTGTTTTTTTTAAATAATAACTAATTTCAATAGCATATTGTTTTCAAACAATTATTTGTTTGTAAATAAAAATTGTCCTGGTTTAATATTGTGATCAACTATAGTGGAGTTTTTTTGTAATATTTTTTAAAGAAATGTATGTATATGATATATTATAAATAGTAACAAGAAAACGTACTTATTCAACATGTTTAATTTTAATATAAATGTAGAGGTTCTATTTTGAATTCTTTTAAATCTTTTGCGAACTCAATAAACGATCTGATCACTTTCATGTCTACTCCGACCAATACTCGCTGTAAGTATTGAACGAATATCTCCAAAGTCATAGCACTTCGCTGCATCAGATTATCCTGTATGATATAACCGTCGTACACGTCGAAATTGTTTGCATCTTCTAAAGCGTTTATTATATCTATGGATTTCCGCTCGGCTTGAAAATTTCTCGTGCACGACACCTTGAAGTCCAACGATGGCGAAATGTCGTTCATCTTGTCCACTATGTCGTCGATGATGGAGTCTCTGACGTTTTTTCTGATAAACATCTTGACCGGCTTGTGGAACAGGTCTTGCAAGGCTCGCCAATCCGGGTCCTCGGTGAAGCCGAGATATTCGACGGCCTCGTTCAGTCTAGACGAGAATATGCCGTTGTACTCTCTCAGCAAACGCGGCACCGTCTTTGTGGGCAAATTAATTCCCGTATACCATGTGTTCAGCTTGACCGGCGGTATTCTCTTGTTCAGATAAACCACATGCTTGCAGGCGATGCGCAGCACGATGACTTTCAGTGCGTCGACGAACTTGTCTAAGAAACGGCCAAGACGCTTCGCCCATCGGTCCGGTCGGTTCTGTCTCGCCACCTGCCGATAATGTTCCTGCAACACCAGCGCCGTGTCCAAAGTGTCCTGTTCGCCGAATCCTCGCAACAAGGCTGTCATAACGTCTTCGCTGTCGACCACTTTGTTCAGATAAAGCGCGTCCAGGGAAAACCACTCTCCGCCGACGTCGGCCGCGCTGGTCAACAGGTGCCGCCGGCTGTCGGCGATCAGGCTTCTATTGCGCTCCAAGCTCCGCGACAGGGACTCGTCGAAAGTGGCAAACGCGTTTCTATAAGTGCAATCCAGCAACACTAGATCCCTCTGGTTCGCGGAACCCAAATGCGACCCGTTGTACTTGTTGTCGGGCGCGCAATTTGCGGTCGTGTACTCGGTCAGGGCGGCGAAGAACTCTCGGCGGACACTGTGCGAAACGCGCTCGTCGACCAGCGTGCTTTTGTGCTGGACCAACTGCAGGTACAGCTGGTACGTGTGGACGAGCCACAGCGGGCTCATCATCCGGTCCGGGACGCCGAGTAGCTGCGAATACATTACCGTTAACATGGTTGTGGATTCGCCGGCAAAAGACGCACCGACACCGGTCCGAGTGGACGTCGACGTTGGCACGTTGTAATCGGTCAAGTGATGGTTATGCATGGCCAAAAACACATAATAGCACACTACTTGTCCGTAGAGCTTTTTTACCATGTCCACGACAGCGGCCGGATCCCACAACGCCACTTCTGCCTCGGAATACGTTCGCTTTAACTCGTATCCCGTGTCAAATGCTTGTAACGACAAAAAAATCTGCACTAGATGCGGTTTTCTCTCGACCGCTAAACTCCGCTGGCCCAATACCGCCATTAGGCAGATCGCTGTGAAAATAGTCGACGACACTTTGGCGGACAACATGTTCGTACCGCTTGCAAGCACGGCCCACTGTGTAAGAGCAAACTTTCATATTATTCTGCTATGGCGCTGGTGTCTATATTGTTTACGAATATCAGTTGAATATATTTTACAGGTCGGATAAATGTAAGTATAATGACAATAAAAAAAACAAGGAAGGCAACATTTTTGTATAAACGTATAACTCTTGAAATAATAAATGTGTACCTACTTTTGAAAAAATATATTTATGCTTCGATGCGGAGCGTGGGAGTTATTTGTTTTACAAAAATGTGTTTTTATATTTTAGTATTATTATTTTTCTTTGTCATGTAGCAAGCTTAGATCAGAATGCGTACCTAAAAGATACATTATTGGGCCAAGCATTTAAAAAATACTATTTCCTAAAAGTGTGCACATTTTGCATCATAAAATTACGACACGCTATATCTTTTTTGAAAAAAAAGTTTAATTATTTCCAAACCTAAGTGGGGTATTTTTTTAGACATAGTATACCCGATATACAGTGAAAACACAAGAATATTTCATTACTTCAAATGAAAAATAATTCAATAAACGACAATAGAAATTTTTAAAAAACAAAGAACAATTTGTTAAACTGGAACTTAAGTCTATCACTAAGTTTGGGAGACGCGGGTTTGACGACGATGTACAAAACTAATTGCCATTTGTCGTATAATTTATTTATTTCAACTTATACAATTACAGTTCAGTAATAAAACGGTAAAATTAACGACACGTTATTAAATAAGTTCCACGAGTTGACGGTTTGAAGTCGGGGATTTCATTTATTAGTACTGAAAATCGTCTAAATCTCGAGCAAATTCTATATACGATCTAATGACTTTCATGCTTATGCCGTTCAACGCTTTCTTAAGAAATTCGACGAAAATTGCAGCAATAGTGATGCTGTGATTGACCAGTGCGTTCGGCGTGGCGTTTCCTTCTTCTGCGAATATGCCGTGCTGAGCGTTCATGTGTAATATTCGTTGAAAACATTCATTGTCGGCGCGTAGTCCGTTCGACGAATAGGATATCTTGAACTTGGACGGTGTCAACATGTCCGCCATAATCGCGTTTATGCTGTCTACTAGCCTGTTTCTCCTTCGTTTGGTGATGAAGTTCCAAACGGGATCGCCGAACGCTTGGACGACGGTTTTGAACCGAAGGTCCCTTTCCAAGTCGAAGTGTTTGACAAACTCGTTGAGCGAATCCAAAATCGCCTGGCCGTTCCTGCGCAACACACACGGCGCCGACATCCATCTTAGGCCCAACGCCCAGATAGTGGTGAACGTCGGCACCGCGTACCGAAGATTATCGACGTACCCGCAGACGATGCGCAACATGACCACCTTGAGAAGGTCGACGAATTTGTCCAGGAAATACCCTAGTTGTTTTATCCACCGGTCCGGTCGGTCCTGTTGGGCTATCGTCCCGAAGTCTTGCCGGATCAGCGTCAACACGGTCTTCCATTGGCGCTGATCGGCAAAGTCCCTCAGCAGGTGCACCATGAAATCGTCGTTTTGCACCACCCAGTTCATGTAGATAGCGTCCACGGAGAACCACGATTCGTTGTCGGCCACGGTGCGAAGGGTCAGCTTGTTGTCGCTCAACTGGTAGACGATACGGTATTTGTTCATGGCGACCAGCAACCACCGCACCTGCGTCGAGTGCGGATGCCTGGCCAGCCTCTGCAAGTTGCCCTCGTACACCGAGCGACTGTACGCGGGGTTGTACTTGTTTCTCTGGTGGCATCTGCCCGCCGCGTACCGCGTCAACTCCGCGATGACCGTGTCGTGGACGGCCGGGAAAACGCCCGGGCCGGCCATCAGCTTGCCGTTGGCCAGCAACAGCAGGTACAGCTCGTACATGAAGCTCAGCCACAGGGGCCGGGTGGATTTTTTCGGGCCGCCGTTGATCGCGTGCGCCACTATCAGCAACAGCTGGGCTTCTCTGAAAAACGAATACTTCTTCAGGTACTCCGTGTACGCGGGCTTTTGCATGTGATGCCTGACAAGACGCTCGTGGTAGCCCGTCAAGAACA